GTGTGTGTGTGTGTGTGTGTATTGCGTTTCCTTTGTAAAAGTCCTTTCCCTTAGCAACGTTTTGCTCAAACATATTATCAATAATTAAACAAATATTTGTGTAGGGAACTTTTACTTTTACACGTGTCACAACTATTAGAGTAAGTATCAATTACCGATAAGAACTCGTAAAATTTTTCATTAATCATGTAAGTGTTAATATACATAATTATGTTGGTGTTCAACCTGCCATACATTACATATATCACGTGTATAGAAAATTTTTATATGTGTAACATGTATGACAGTGTTTTCTTATTTCGTCAATAATTATACAAATTGGACCTTTCATTCAAACTTCGTTGTGTACATTTTTCGTTAGGATACCTACATGCCAATACTCATGAAGATCGGTTGTTCGCTTCTTGATTTATCCGCCGCTTTGTAAGATATTGTCGGAAACTTCAATGTAGTTCCAGAAAAAAGCTGCTAAGGGGACCAGCCAATAAAAGCTGACAGCAATAAAATAAGACTATATCATGTCCAGCTCAAAAGCTACAAATAAGGAAGTTCTATCGTTGTACCAAGATCAGCGGGCAGGAGGCCCAAATTTGAACTTGGCCTTTGTCTTCCTAAGATCTGCCCACTTACCAAATAGCACTACGATCCATAAAGGCCTTCATACCACAAGTATGTGAAAACGCATTTTACGTAGGTAATAAGAAAAGCCAAGAAACCTACCTTGATCACACCTGGTTCCGTTGTACCCGGCAGCACACACGTGAACCCCTTCGGTCGGACAAGTCCCGGTAAATCTGTCACAGGTCTGATTCCCGTAACAATGTCCACATGTGGTGTTACAGGCGGGACCGTAAGTATCAGAACATTCTATAGAAGACAGAAACATAAAAAGGCATATGGTGTATTTTAGATGTCATGTAAGCAATGGAAATTAGCTTGAGAAAATCCAATGCTTGAAATCTACCTTGATCATATTTGGTGCGCCCTTGTATCCGGCCGTATACACTCACATTGTACCTGACATTGCCAGTCGGACATGTCCCGTTAAACGCGTCGCAACATAATATACAAAATATATCTATAGTTTTAATCATATATTCAGACCGGGCGTTGTGGTTATGCCAGGACAGGGAGGGGGGTGGGTGGGTTGGGGCTCCCCTTTCTAACTCAACAACCACTCGTAGAAGTATTTTACAGGATGGTGTAGTAAAATCAAATGATAACAGAAATTATGACGTCATTTACGTGATGTTTTCCTAAAATCGTAAAAATTGGTTTTCTAATAAGCTCAGAAAAAACAAACTTTTACTAAGAGTTATGTTTCCCTTAGTAAAAACAGTGTCATAAAATGACGTCATACATATTCAAGCTATCCGTCATCTTGGATTAGTGAAAAAGTGGATACACCAGATCTAAAGAATATGGTCCGCCATCTTGGATTTTGATCAATGGCGTCGTTAAATTAGCATACATTATGAATATTTGAAATTACATATAATTATATAAGAATCAATAATGTTCGAAAAACGTGTAATTAAACATTAAAAATCTGAAAATTTTAATTTAAAACCGAAATTGCGGACAAGAAAATCTATTAAATCATAAAAATGATTCCATCTGTTTTTTTTTTTAATCTGATGCCGCTCAGCCGCTACAGGAGATGAAAGTTGGCTCGGGCCTCAACCACGTAACCCCCTTCCCCCGTCTGAATAAGTTTTATTTTCACGGCAATCTAACATTACACAACATCAAATTTGAACCAGTGATCTGAGGTATCAAACAACTTGCCACTTTGTATCCAATATATCCAATTAATGGTGATATAGAATACTACAGACAATATATGGACTGGGCGTATCTGTCACTAATCACTTTAATTCATTAATTCATTCAATAATCCATTAATTAAAGTAAAAATACGACCTACCCTGTTTACAGAGAGAACCTTGCCAACCATCTGCACATGCGCAGATGTAAATTCCGGAGTCTTCAGGTCCAGGGGTCAGGGTTCCACCATTCTGACATGTTTTAAATGAGGACGCTGTGGAAAAGTAGTATAATGACAGTACTGACAGTGGCCACTTTGCATTTAAATTATTGTAACAATTCACCCAAATGTTACCCTGTTACCTTGCTGTACGACTACTATGTTTTGCCTTGATTATCATCGCCCGACGTTCCGTACTGCTTTGGTCCTAAGGTAATCGCACTCAAAAAAACAATCTTAAGTCAGAACTGCTAAAGTCAATATAAAGCTACTTGTAGGCACATGCATAAAGCGTTATATATGATCCTAAATAGCCATTGCCTTCTTTGAGCCTCTTGAGCACATGACGCCCATCGTAACGACTTTGACACATGCCCAAGACCTCATACCTCCATGAAATATGGACTTGACATGTAACTGTAAATTTCTTATTTAATTATGCAAATGGCCGCTACATTAACATAATAAATGCATCGTGATGTAGCCAGCATAACTTGTGAACCTTTAAATGGATTGTAATAATATTTGGTATGTGGGTATGTGGGTCGATTTTGGGCCTTCTTGTGGTTGACCTTGATACTGCAGCAAAACTTTCGGTTTTTGTATCTTTTGTCCAGGGCATGTTATGGTCTTGATTTTTGCGCGGTGGATAGCTTTTCCTGCCAGTAATAAGTGGTATGGGTTTGGTCCCACTAGCAGCTTGTTCTGGAACTGCAGGGGGGGGGGGTCAGGCAAAAGCTTTCAGGGCAGATAAATTCACAAAGGAACAATGTATTTTGATGATTTTTTTGGTATGTGGGTACATACAAATAGAGATCTACATTACTGGATGCAAATTATGCAAATTATGACTTCATTTGCATAATTAATGAGGAAGTTCTGCAATTCAAGTGTTTTACATCATGGGATTTTGATACATGTAATGTTTATAATGTATGGCAGATAAAATAGAATCAGATACCGATTATGCAAATACGGACCTAATTTGCAAAATTAATCTGAAAATTCTATGACTCCTTAGCTTAGTGGTAAATGATGGGAATTTCATACTTGGGACATGGGTACGTTAATCAAAAGTTAACATCACGATGCATTTATTATGTTAATATAGCGGGAATTTGCATAATTAAAAAAGAAATTTACAGTTACATGTCAAGTCCATATTTCATGGAGGTATGATTTCTCGAAACTGTTGTTTTCTTTATCTTAACTTTACCATGTATATAATAAGAAAACAAAATGAGCACAGTGCTAAGTAATGACTTGAAAACTTACTAGTAGGAAAATCAGCTGGTCTGATCATCATGACGGTTTCCTTCAAGGAATACTGGTAACCCAACCAAGTGTACCAGACGATTCCATCTGCAGTGGAGCAGGAAGCTGGAGCAGGTACTGAGCAGCCTGTCAGATACTGTCCGTTCAACATGGCGTAACCACAACTCGGAGTGTACCACCAGCCTCCTTGTCCGAATGTAGCAGCACAGTCGGTACTGACACCGTCGTTATCCTGGTCTGTTGTAGAAAATTGTCTGTTGTTGATGCTGTGACGAGTAGTGGATGCGTCCAAACTATCAGTTGCATCCCCGCTGTACCCGTCAATCGTTGCCGTGTACTTGCTGCTGGCATCTCCCACAGAAAACGTGCTGTACCGCGCAAACCGGCTGTTCATTTCCCAGTCTTCCAAGTACACGTACAGTTCGTTTTGTTTCTGTGTCGTCAGACTGTGGATGTTCCCCAATCCCAGCCAGTGTTCCCCACCGGCATTACCACTGGTGTTGCCGAAGCCCTGCTCGTACTCAGTCCAAGTCCTGTCAAACGGTACAGACCCGTCCTGTCGCCGCTGTATGACCGTCCATCCCCCGCCATCAGTGTCCATGTCACAGTAGGCTTGGAATGGTTGTGGGTGGCCGATAGTGTAAACATGACTGTACTGAATCCCGAGTGCGAACACGTCAGTACAATCTTGGGGAGCCAGGATATCTGGAAACAATAGATAATAAAGATGCCTATCTCGAATCTTCGTGTGTTTCTTAATTCCTGTTCAGGTCTTGTTGTAAATTTCTCCCTGATTTCGTCTATGTATTTTCACTGGCTCCCGAAAGTCAACAGATACGCAATTATAAATAGCAAAAAAATCACTCACCTAGAGCTTTCAACCAGTCACTCTGGTCTTCCTCAGTAGACTGACCCAGTGAAGCTTGTCACGTGGCTTCTTTGAAGTGTGACGTCAACACTGGGTCAAAGGTATCTGGTAGACGATGTCGGCCCCCGTCGCGGTTCAATGTAGGGTGATGGGCCCTGATGTAAATGGCTTCCTTCACCCCTCTCAAGAAAAATTGTCTTGTTCAGTGTCTAAAATCCTTACTGTGTCAAGTGAGACATGGTGTCCGGGTGACTCTATGTGGATGTGTTGAGACACCTCTGAACTGGCAGAACTAGGCCGTGTATGTTTCTGAAACCTGGCTTTTAGAGACCTCTCCGTTTCACCAATATAAGTTTCCTGGCAGGGGATGTGGTAGATGACACCTTTGACCCAGTGTTGACGTCACACTTCAAAGAAGCCACGTGACAAGCTTCACTGGGTCAGTCTACTGAGGAAGACCAGAGTGACTGGTTGAAAGCTCTAGGTGAGAGAATTTTCGTGTTGGATCAAAAGTTTTAACTTTAAACCTGTAACTACCAACACAGATGAACTTTCATGATAGCAAAAAAAATCAATTGGACTTTGACATAGCACTTCTTAGGACATTTCTATGTCTTAAAACGAGTAACTTGTTGTCACTGTAGCCGATGTCCCTAGCATGTAAAACGTTAAAGTTAAAAAAAGGGAATCTAGTCCCTTGTCATATAGAGATATGAATGTAGTTACGTTTCGTCTGGTAGTAGTTTCGGTGAGGCCAACTGTGCCACTCAGGACCAGGAGATGCCGCCGTGTCCTTGTCAGAACTACGGAGCCAACACCGTGCACTGCCGCCCTCTGGCGATCCGGCAGGGCGATGGTTGAAGGACAGACAGGTCGGATTGACGCCATCATAGCTGCCGTAACCTTGCAGACAGCGGCGGGCACACTCTTCTGCATCTATGTCGTTATATGCTGTTATGTGGTCAGGAGAATCACCGAAGAAGCGACCATCCTTCTTAAAAAAGAGATCCTCGTACGAGACAGTATCTAAAGCAAAAACGTTACAACGTTTTAAAACCAACAGAATTTTTTCAAAGTCTTCGTAATTGGTCCGGTATTAGAATTTTAAAAACCCCATTGGTACCGTTTACCTGGATGTCTAACCTTCATCAATATAACGTTAGATTAAAACCGTATTTGCGATTGCACTAGGTATCAATCAAGCCGCAAGCATCAGAGTAGATGCATGGCGACTGTAGCCATGTCCCTCCAGGATGTTCTGATACAATGCGCTAGGTATCCACGACCGTTTTTATTGACATGTCGATATGTATCTATTTTACTTATTCGGGATGGTGACAGGTATCTTGTGCAGCTTATGTGTTAAATGTTACTGTTAATAGTACCTTCAGGTGTTTGGCACGAGTCTCCAGTCCATAGGTCATGACATCCCCCAGTACATACCCCAGTCGGCTTGTCACAGGCAGCTGGCCCGGCTGCACAGTGGCAGGTTTGGGTGCAGCCGGCTCCGTACAAGCCGCCAGGACACTCTAAGAAATTTACATCAAATTAACAGATATTATCAAATACATAAATATATGAAAATATCTTCGGGTCTGTATCAAACACAAGAAAGAGGATGATCAATATTTATTAAATAAAAGCTTTATAGGATTGGAAATTCAGACGTCAAATCTTCAAGTGACACCGTACCAGTGATCTCTGTTGACGTGTCATAATACGATGATCGGATTTTAATAATGCAGAATAACATATATTGCTTGCTCCATGCATGGGCACACTCGTCAAGCAAACAAGCAAACAAAGAGAATACGTACCGCTATCACATTTGTGACCATTGTACCCAGCCGAACACACGAAAGCTTCTCCAGTTGGACATGTCCCCGTGAATCTGTCACAGGTCCGACCCATGTAACAATGGCCACATGTGGTATTACAGTCAGGGCCAAACGAACTAGAACACTCTGTGGTAGAAAAAAAAACATTGAAATCCGTATGGTATATATGTATAAGCATTCGTGTAAGACAGTAGCAATGTAGCTTGGTTTCACTAAAAGTATGTACAATACTGGAAACCAACCTTGATCACACTTGGTGCCATGGTACCCTGACGCACACACATGAGACTCTCCAGTCGGACAGGCTCCGTCGAACTTGCTGCAGGTCTGCCCTATGTAGCAGTGTCCGCACTCTGTAAAGAAAGAAAAATTATAAATATTTAATTTAACCCTCGAACATCCGTAGGTTTTTTTTTGCGACGAATCTTACCGTATTGACCCCATAATGTTTTGCACAAATATTGCTTTTTTTGGGACTGTATTTTGTGATTTTTAAGTATGTATAGTTACAAGAACCTATGAGGGACGTTTTCACAAAATTAGTTATGAATAATTTCCGCTCATTATCAAAATATCTGCAGCTGAAACAAGATGCCTTCAGGCAGCCATGTCAATGACCTTTGACCCCAAGTTCATAGGCAACTACGTCTAGGGTCACAATTTCTTAGTTTTTTGAGTCAACATGTTGATGTTATTCAAATGCCTGCAGAAAACTCACGCAAACATATTAACTGGAAGAAATTTGACGTTAACAAAAGACTCACATGTGCTAAAACACCGGTTAAAAGTGCTGAACCACTTGACCACCTATGAAGTTTCTAGGATAACTCAAATAACAATGCTCCAATCTCAATACAGAAACGTGTAAGAGGTTTCAAGACATATATACAAACCAACTCATAAGAAGGAATTTTGTGTCCGACAAGAAATGTCAAAATGGGACATATTTATATATTTATATATATAGAAAAATATATAATAAAATATAGTTTACATTCTCATAGTAATCTAACATTTTTCAACCTCAAATGGGACTATCCCTAGCTTGCAAAGGTCTGGCTACTTTGTATAAAATGTATCTATATTCAATAGGCCGTATTATAGAATATTACAACCAAAATACGTCAGGAGTCCTGGCGCTTGGTATTTGATAAAATCCCATTCATTCATTCATTTATTCATTCATTCATTCGTTCATTCATTCATAACTGTAAGTAACAGACCTACCCTGATCACAGAAGGCACCGTACCATCCATCTGCACATGCGCAGATGAAAAGTCCGGAATCTTGAGGTCCTTGGGTCAGATTTCCACCATTCTGGCACTGTTTGAATAAAGACGCTGTGGGGAAACGTAGAGGAATGACAGAAAGTTGACATTTTGCATTTGATCATTAAATGCCATGCTCTGTTCATGGACTGTGAAATGTATTTTTCTCTTTTTTGCCTTTTTAAGTTAATTAACATCAGCTGGTCTCCCATACGGTTCCTCTCTGTGTCGTTAAAGGCGATCACACTCAAAAACAGTTCCAAGACAAAGGTAATTACTACAGGAGAAAAGCGTTTAAAACGCATAAAACTATAAAATATATCATGGACACATCCTAAACGATCTTTCCGATAATGGGCCTCTTTAGCACAAGACGCCCAAAGTAGCGCTTTTGGCACATACCTGGGAAATTTGCGGGTCTGACCATCATGACTGTTTTCTTCAAGGAATACTGGTAACCCCTCCAAGTGTACCAGATGATTCCATCTCTGTACGAGCAGGAGGATGAGCAGCCTGTCAGATACTGTCCGTTCAACAAGGCCCTGCCACATCTTGGAGTGTACCACCAGCCTCCTTGTCCGTATGTACCCGCACAGTCGGTACGACTGTCACCGTCGTTATCTTGGTCTGTTGTAGAAAATGGACTGTTGTCAATGCTATAAGGATGGCGCGCCAGACTATCAAAACTTCTGTCCCCGCTGTACCCGCCGATCGTTACCTTGTACTTTCTGAAGGCACCTCCCACAGAAAACGTGCTGTACCACGCAAACCGGCTGTTCATTTCCCAGTCTTCCAAGTACACGTACAGCTCGTTTTGTTTCTGTGTAGTCAGGCTGTGGATGTTCCCCAATCCCAGCCAGTATTCTCCACTAGTGTTGCCGAACCCCTGCTCGTACTCAGTCCAAGTCTTGTTAAACGGCACGGACCCGTCCTGTCGCCGCTGTATGACCGTCCACCCCCCGCCATTAGTGACCATGTCACAGTAGGCTTGGAATGGTTGTGGGTGGCCGATGGTGTAAACATGACTGTACTGAATCCCGAGTGCGAACACTTCAGAGCAATCTTGGGGCGCCAGCATATCTAAAAGTGATAGACAATAACTGTCTGTTGTTATGTGTATGGGATATGTCATACACCATTGATTTTTAAATCATTCTTGTTTCTTTCGTTGTGAATTTCTCGCTGATTCCGTCTATGCTTATTCCATGCTGTCTCCAATAACGAAACAAGTATGCATATAGAAGAAAATTGGACAGGATATAGTAAAATACTTCTTAGGTCTTTGACTTAGTCAATTTCCTGTCATTGTAGCTGTCGTCCCCAGTACGGTTGCTTAAGAAAACACGCAGATGACCTATCAACGCGCCAATGATAAAACTTCGGAATCCGTATATTCAGGTAATAATGTTAACCCTTTTCAGACCGGATTTTTGGTCATGCTGGGACGGAAAAATCACTTATCGTAGGACCAGCAAATTTTCAGAGGATGGTGTAATATCAGAATTGAATCATAACAAAAAAAATTTGTTTGGATCATTTATCTTGAGTTTTATTTCATTTTCTTTCAAGCAATTAGAATTTAAGGAAAAATGCAATATATAATAAGTATATGGTTGCCATCGTTGAATTCGACCAATCATGTTATGGAAATAGTGTACATTTTGAGTATTGAATGAAGGAAATTACATAAAATTAGATAAAATGTCCACCTGAATATTCACTTTAATTGTGGTCAATTAGTACTATTTCCAGGATAATAATACCGCCCATGTAGTTAAGACAGTACGTATTGGTAATCCTTTTCATAATTGTTCTACAAATGTCCTACATTTAGAAAAACATACAGAATAGGTCATATACTTGAGTAGTTTTCAAATTAAATTTTGATGAACATACGTTTCCTCTGGTAGTAATTTCGGTAAGGCCAACTGTCCCACTCAGGACCAGGAGATACCGCCGTGTCCTTGTCAGAACTACGGAGCCAACACCGTGCACTGCCGCCCTCTGGCGATCCGGCAGGGCGATGGTTGAAGGACAGACATGTCGGATTGACGCCATCATAGCTGCCGTAACCTTGCAGACAGCGACGGGCACACTCTTCTGCGTCTATGTTGTCGTACGCTGTTATGTGGTGAGAAGAACTACCAAAGAAGTGACCTTCTTTCTTAACAAAGAGACCTCCGTATGAGACAGTAGCTGAAAGAGAAAGTTGCATACTTCTAAGACCATCATAACGAGGGTAAAGAACACTAAAGCCACAATTGTGACAAGCTCTGTGATTGCACAAGGTGACCAAAAAAGTTTTCACAAATCTAAAACCATTTTATTCCCTATACCTGTAAGGATTTGACACGAGTCCCCAGCCCAGAGGTCCAGACACCCCCCAGTACAGAATCCAGTCGTCTTGTTACAGGCTGTCGGTCCGGCTGCACAGTGGCAGGTTCGGGTACAGTCAGCTCCATATTGGCCGTCAGGGCACTCTGAAATAGTCGGACATTTTTTATCACTCAATTTATAATGTAATAATAATGCTTGATAATAGCAATCTATAATAACCAAAACAGCAACAAAGCTCTAGATTAGGTCTTTGTAGCCAAAGAAAATGCCATGATCACATTTGTCACTAAAATTGTACCTGGTAAACATGTTACAGGAATGACTTCCGCGGAACAATGTCACATTCAGGTTTCACTACAGTCAAGGTCGTACGGACCAGAGTATCAAAGAGTTTAAAATAAACGAGATGTTGAATAAAAAGTCTTTTTTACGTGTAGAAGTAAACGTATATTTTAGAGTGGGATATTTACAGACCAGAAACCCACCTTGATCACATTTGTCACCAATGTACCCGGCGGCGCACACGTAAAACGATCCGGTCGGACATCTCCCGTCAACGAAGTCACAGATCTGACCCCCGTTACAATGCCCACAGGTTGTGTTGCAGTTAGGGCCGTACGTACCGGAACACCCTATTAAAGAAATTAAGATAAATCTTAATTTGTAAATTAGGTGGAAAAGAAGTCTTTATTGCCTTCGTCCGGAAGGCTGAGCAATCACTTTGCTATAGTTTGCGAAACTTTGCGGCATAACTCTTGAAGGCAACGTTCAATGTTCATGATTTACTGCTGGGGGACCAAGGTCAAGTTGAAAAATCAGTCTCGTGGGTGTCCTTACCTCACTGCAGTGGACATTTTGTTTTTGTCGTTTGTGAGCAGGATAACTCGACTATATGTAAATGAATGTTCATGATTTTGGGTAGGCATGTTACCATTTGGAAGACCAAGGTCAAGTTCGAACATGGTTTGTTTGTTAGCAGTTTAAGTCCTGGATGAGGAATTGTCTAAAATTTTGTATGTTAAATAGGTTTTGGGGCATAGATAAAGTGGTGTAAGTCTGGACTCCCTAGTCGCTTGTGCGAAAGTGCAATGGGCCTATCTGTGTTAACATTTGAAAGTGTCCTTGATGCCTTTCATCTTCCTGCTTTTATCCATTAACGACCTTCAGCTGGGTTACCCCATCCGATTCCACCCCGCCCAGTGAGACCTTGTGTTAACACAGGTGTGGAAGCACATGTGCTTGTAGGTCAATAGTTCCTCTTTACACAATCAAGCGGTTTTGATATCTCGTGGTGTACATTTTTGTAAACATAGTAAGATCAAAAATGTTCGGTAAATTACATAAATAATGAGAAAATACATTAATAGTGGTGACTGACAGGAATTTCGTACTTGGGGCATTTGGAAGTTACACTATTTAGACTAGGGGGGGGGGGTAAAAGTGCCCGAGCCAATTTTGATGTCGGATAGCGTCTGAACGGCTTGCGCCAGAACCACCAAACGTCGTGACCTTTCCAAAAATATAGTTTGTAATAGTAAATATATACTGATAGTATAATTATCAGTATATATTTTAAGTCAAACATTTTTGTGTTGACACGAGTTTCTGACAGACATTTTTGTCGAAATTCAGTAATTTTCGTTTCAACAATAGACTTATGGATTTTGTGTCAAGTTACACGATTTCCAATATTAACAACATGTAATTTTTTTTGTAATTTTGATAATTTCGATGCATAATCCATGTTAATGGCAGACCATCATTAGATCAGGTATATACAGCGATTTTTCCTTTAAATATTATCGCTACTTCGAGTTTAAAAAAAGTTCACATGAACGTCTTTAGGCTATTTGTAATGGTGTTTTAGGCTTTATCTTGAAAAAACAATATTTTGATTCAAGATTGATGATTCAAGATCGCGGATAGGTAAAATATGCATAGCGTCACTTTATGACATCACTGGTGTTGCTATGGGAAACATATGTCTTAGTAGACCTTAATATTCTATCATAGACACTTTGTTAAAGTTGTGCTATATACCGATAAGTTGTAAGAAAATAACATATCTAGCCGGTTTTCGCCAATAAAATAACATTAATGACGTCATATTACGTCATCATGACATCAACATTTTTGTTATGATTAATCTTACTAGCACAACATCCTCTACAAATTTGTTGGTCATACGACATACCGTTTACGAGATCGGGTGGGGGGGCGGGGGGGGTGAATACCCCCCTCTGGTCGCACGAATCCCAAAAAAACAGGTCTAGATAGGGATAAGTGAGGGTAATCATTATTAAACATTACGTATTGAAGCCAAAGCCTTATTTGCATAATTTATGAGGAAATGCTTGCATAGCCCTATTTTTACCTTCGCCAAGAAGGTTATGTTTTCATGGGCGTTCGTCTGTGTGTCTGTCTGCGTGTCTGTAAACACCCAAATACGAGAAGACTTCAATGGATTGTCGTCATACTTGGTAGGTGGGTAGGTCTTGATGAGACCTAAAATGTTCAGATTTTGGGCCCCCTGGAGGCTTGTTGTGCTGCTGCAGCGCAATTTCCGGTTTTGATATATCATGATCAGGACGTGATAGGATCACGAAGTTTGAATAGGTCTTGTACTAGGGAAGAAGTAACGTAGGTTTGGGCCCCCTAGCAGCTTGCTCAGTAACTGCAGGGGTGTTTCTTTAAAAATATTCAAAACATAATAACTCAAGAACCGGTTGACAAAGCGTCTTGATTTTTGTTATTTAGGTAGCTTAATGACGCTTGACATAATCATGTGAATATTATGCAAATCTGGATGTGACATGCATACTTAATGAGGAAATACTTCATGAGGAAATACTATAAATCAGGTGCATTGCATTATTATAAGACTATTTAAGCTTGTGACATATGTAATTGAGAACGAGACAAACACAGGCAGATATCGATTATGTAAATTAACACGTAATTTGCATAATGGTAACTGGTTAGAATTTTATACTTGGGGTATTAATGGGAAAGTTAAATGAAGGTGAACATAATTAAACATAAGGACCTTATTTGCATAATTGATGAGTAAATGATAGAATGGATTTCTTCTTAAAGTAAAAGTAAGATAAGGCTGTCTTTTGGTGGAGACTATGATCAACTGATATAATTCATGCAAATGAGGACCCTTTGTGCATAATCAGGACGAATAACCTTTACTTTGTCTGTCATAAAGATCAACATCATTATGTCTTACATGCATAATTCTTCAGTCGTAAACTTTAACATCATTTGACGAAGGCATGAGGTGACGGAAATCTAGTGGTTAGAATATAATCTATAATTGTAGAGTGGGATGGTTACAGACAAGAAACCCACTTTTATCACATCCGTAATCATTGTACCCGGCTGCGCAAAGTTGATCCCCTCCGGTCGGACATGCCCCGTTGTAACGGTTACAGATCTGTCCCCCGTAACAATGTCCACATGGGGTGTCGCAGTCATGGCCGTACCTGCCGGAACACTCTAGCAAAGAAATAAAGATAAATCACAGGTAGAATAAGACGTCTTGTTTAGAAGACAATCTGTAATTTCAGATCGCGATGTTTACAGACCAGAAACCCACCTTGATCACAGTAGTCACCACCATAGCCTTCATCACACAAGGGAGACCAATGATATCTTCTCGGACATCTCCCGTCAACTTTGTCACAGGGAAAATCATGCCAACAATGTCCACATGTGTTCTCGCAGTTATGGCCGTATGTACCGGAACACTCTGTAAGGAAATTTCCCATAATAAGCAAGACGAAATATCTCATCAGATAAAATTCAATCAGATAGAATTAGGTTACTAATCACACTGCGCAATCATCGGATCATCCTGCATAAGTTATGGGACAGTGCCTACGTCGCGCTGTCCTTATGCTTAGGTCACAATTCAAGAAAGGGGCCCGCTCGGCGCGTGTTCGGCGTGTTTTTTAGCACTACCGAACGGGACCTGGACGGAGACCGGCGGGCTTCCCGACGGCTGCCGGCCTATTTTTGGCCCCGCGCGGTCGCCGAATCGATTTTAACTCAGAGTTAAAAACACTTCGGGCCCCGTTCGGCGAAATACGCCGAAGCGACGCCGTATCCTCACTGCCCGGGACCCGTCGGGCGGCCGAACAGGCACCTGCCTAAGATTATGACGTCACATGTGCTGATCAGTGCATCAGATGGTCAGGAAAAGGGGGTTATAGGGAGCATATATAAGCTCCTGCCTCAGACTACGTCGCACAGTTCACCACGTGTGTGTTACATCGTGTACTTGTGTGTGTTACACCTTGTATTTGTGTGTCAGAATGTCGAAGGGCAAGGGAAAACAGCCGGCACGGCTCTCTTGCCAACTTCATAAAACAGATCATAACAGGAATAGAATGTGTCTGACATTATCTCTTGTTACATCATATGCCTTCGTAATAAAATGGAATCAGAAGTTATTAGCATTTATTTTCAGTCCAAATTTCAACAGAAGTAACGATATTCAGTGGTTTTATTGCTCAATAGCAAGGAGCTGCACACTTCCTGCGTCACTGCTGAAGTACTTCCTGCGTCACTGTTGAAGTACTTTCGAAAGTAGGCCCTCGGTTACTTTTGCGACGCACCAGTTCTGCCTGCCTCTCTTCTTCAGCTACCAATGCCAGAAGACCTACATGTAGGTTGTCACCAATCTCAATCTCAGACGGGCTTGTAAGTTGTTTGCAGGTTGCACTGAACGCTGCATCGCCAACTTCAGTCTACTCTTTACTTGACGTGTACTCTTTACTTGAAGTGAACGGTAGCAGGCAGTGCAGCGCTTATATATGTACCTGCTAAAAAACACGAGAGGAGCCCGTCGGGATCCCGCCAGGAACCCGCCAGGGACCTGACAGCTGCCCGGCCGAACTGTAAGAGCCGGTCGGCACCCTACCACACGCCGCACGGGTCAAGACGGGCGACTGACCGGGCACCGGACGGGTCCCTGACAGAAACCGGCCGCAAAAGTTTATGAATATTAATGAGAGCCGCCGGCCGGAGCACAAGCAGGCCCCGACAGGTAGCCGTAAAGGAACATTTAATTGTGACCCTGACAGTACGGCGCACGCTCGGCGTCATGACGCCAGCCGGCGTCTACGCCGAGGACATGCCGAACGGGCGCCGTTTCAAATGTGACCTAAGCATTACTCCTCGTCCCCGCTGAGGCATGTCACCTTATCCTTTCCTACACTTCCATATGGAAGTATATCCCCATACTCATCAACCCCCTTACTACATTCTGCAAAGACTGACATATAATGAAATGACTGGGAACACATTTTATTCTAAACTCACTGATATATACGACCCTTCTCTACCGTGTCCGAAAACATACCTTGCTTACCAGCTAAACAAAATCCGTCATCATGTTACTGGCCTTTTTCCCAATTGAGGACATAATCCAAAGGGATGATAGAGAATTGAGTGTCACTTTGTCAACCTGCGGCACAGGTGCCGATATTTGGCAGGGCTTGTTTTCTCCGTCCGGGTCCTGACCTTGACCCACCTTTGAGTGTTATCCGGGTACACATCTTAGCTGCATGACTACATTTCTGTGATATTATCTGAACTGTGTGTTCTCCTGGTCTCACCACTTATGTGCACGGATTTCTTAAAATATACCATCCTTACGAACAAACACTCTAACAGGTTACCTCTCAGCCTCTATCTTTTCCGATCACGTGACGGGCGAAGACGCACTCAGAAAGCACGTCGGCAGAACGTACTGCACCTGCGCGAAACCCGTAATGTATTGTACATAGCATTTCGGCAGACCGTCTCATATAAGGTTGTATTCGCTCATATAAGGTTAGCATTTCGACAGTAGTTTTCAAATGTTGTGTCGGAAAGAATATCCTCTGCAACAGGCAAAATTCTGATGCAACGTTGACCAAAAACCGTGCCGATCTGAACGCCTTCCTGGCCTGTACGAGTGAGCCTTCCAATCAAGTGTACATGTTTATTCCCGAACAAATGTATAAAATTTCCCCTTTCTCAATTTTTCCTCCCATACTCAATTACTCATACTGCATAGAGACTCTAATCGCAATTTGATTACATCGTTCTCCCTAAGAAACAATATTCTGGCCCCGGAAAAGAAGGCTGTCTGGGATATATTCGTGATCTCTTGCCAATGCACACAGCCCTCTTGCTGACTTCATCCACGGTTTGAAATGCACTTGCACAACTTGGCTGGGATATCATCGAAGCCATGGTTTCTGGCCACACGTAACAGAGCGGCCACCATCTGATGTGTTGGGTCACGATCAGTTGAGCCCAGGCGGTGAGCCCATCTCAACAATTTCAACATCGTGACCTTGATCAGGTCTTATAATCATTATGGCTAAGAAAATCACATAATACAGTACGTATAAAGGAGCCAGACGAAAATTGAGAAGTTCCATCGTGAAAGGGAAATTCCCTGCAGAGCTATTCACTAAGTGGTGGGAATATTAATCATCCCCAGATCGTCATCCGTTTCAATTCCAATATGAACTCGCCGTACCTCCTATGCAGTCGGTCACCCCAGCGCTCAGTAAGGTGGCCTGCTATGTATTCGACCTCATTACGCATCTCCCGAGCTCGGAGAGTATCGTTGTCTCTGAAAGTGAATGGTTTTACAGAAGGCTTTACCCGTACGCTTCCTGCATGTCGCTATGTCTAAACCCAATCAGGGATACCAAAGCTCTCACACCGGTGCTCCAAAGCTCATCAACGTTTCCTCAAATCGTATTCCGTACAACACCTTAAATCCTAAAAACATGCGGAACACTTCCCAGGAGATCGAGTTATCCGGACCCGCACTAACACCTGTAGGGCTTACCGTGTGTCTTATCAGTCGACCGAACTTTAGCGAATGTTCGCGCTGCTAATAGTAGTAAGTGCCAAACACCACTCAACCTAGGACATCGACGCATGAGTCCATTCCTACGCGACGTAAAAGACTCTACATCGCTCATCCCGCATGTTACTTCTCTACCGCCCATCGGCGAGTACTTGCATTAAAACGTGTGTAATGACCATCGCCTGATAAAATCGACTATAGTATATACCAAAGCACACAAGACGAGAGGCCTGCATTAAGTTCCTCATGAGCATTAGCTCGTAGCTATCCCTCTTTTACTATTTGCACATATATGCCCGTAATATGGGCAAGACTATGTGCTATTAAACCAGCGCAGTCACACGACGCTCGACATGTGTGTTGTCACTCCACTGCCCACCGGCCTGTGGGTCGTACTAAGGCGTGCTAAAGAACCCTCAACTTGTGACCTTGACAAACGTCCAAGGACGTAAGTTTTGTACTGACCTTCTTGTGTGTTACCGACCTCGAATTTGTGGGCTGAAAGTGTGATACCCAACCGCTGATACCCAACCGCGGGCATTTTGAACACAACATGCACGATATAAATTCTTCCGTGCTCGTCGTGTACTTGTCCGCGTCAAATTGCTTATTCACCACAGATTGTAGCGTGACTCTCTCCCTAGCATGTCCACCATATGCATATATTTTGCAGTGCATCACGGTGCCTATCGCTGTGGCACGCTATGCAAACTCATGGCAATAGTTGCGTAGTTTCGGCCAGAATCTGCTTTCCAACAATCTTCTTACAGAGAACATTGTCCTTTGGGTTGTTCTTACACCGTGTGGACATTGCCCACCTTGTCCAACCACACAGTCGCGGCACTGCGCACTGAGGATGGTGCCACCTTTGCTTGTTATTATCAGACATTGAATACAGGGCTGCTCGAACTTGGCGATATTTTGACTTTCCCGACTACAACATGTCTTTCACCGCGCCATTGACATTGTGCCCGACACTCTCTACACACCCTGATACAACGTAGTTCTATGCCTCCAGACTCTCAAAGGCTTTAATTTTATACCGTTCTTGTGAGTAAATATCATGTGCAATACCACATACAAAGCTAAGTCAATGGATTCGTTGGATGGTAGCCGGTCTCGATTGAACTGACCAACCCTTCTAAGAGACGGGTCGATGCCATCAGATCTTATCTTGTTCCTATAACACTGTAGTACGCGATGAGGCGAACTCTTCGTATAATCGAGTAAAAGGCAGTTCACTTTAGTCGGCCATTTCCACGATGATGGCCTGTGGTGAATGAGCTCTAAGACTCGTTACCGAGACTAACATAACACGCCTGGCATAAAACGATTTGACGTTCTTCATGCACGCTATTTCCCACCTCGACTGCCCACCTCCGTGTGTTCACACTATAACTCAGTTCAGCTTGTCTTACGTGGCGTAACATATGATATCACTCTCTACATTCGTCATCCCTGCCAAATACATTATGGCCCAAACTGACTCGTCATCATTCGCCCTTCCATGTGCTACATAACACTCCGCTGAGGTCCTCGGTAAACGCCACACGTGCGACGTAACTCTGACACCTCTCCCGTGTGTGCTTTGTCGGTCGGCTACCCACCGCCGAGTGTCCGCGTTAAGGTGGCAGAACACTGTTTTCACCCTAAGGGGATTCCTATAGTTAAGCACTCCAAGGTGACTCACTTCGATGCGGTAAAAATTATAGTGGGGTGCAGTAGAGAAACACGGCCAACTACTATGTTGAAATATTCGGTATATTCTACAAAATAAATGAAAACCAACAGGGGTTATGGTTTTTAACATTATAACGACCACATTGATTTGGCCTTCTACCAATTTCAACGTAACTGTAGCCGGCTCACCCCGGCACGCATTTGCGTAATCTATACACGAGCGGCCGGGGAAGTCTTCACAATCCAACTCATACGGTGTACAAGCCGATACCTTTCTATACCACACAGTGCAGTTTACGAACGGCTACTTCCTACATAAAACGCTCTATCCAGGATTCAAGAGTTTGTCTGCACTACTTTCTATAGCCGCGTCATAGACCCCGGGGCCGTCCACAAATACTGTGTTCTGTGGCCTTAAAACGTGGTACCGGACGCTCAAGTGAGGCCTCGCCGACATTAACATGCACTGCGTAAACATTGCCTCGCTCATCATGTAGCCTACTTCTCGACCTAATATCATTCCGTGTTTTCACTAGTGCTTTACAAGCCCATTACTAGAGCTGAGAACACCGACTGTCATGGCATGGTCGACGTAAATCCAGTTACGCTCCTCACGTGTCCTATCGCTGGGCTGTCCACCAATTTATTCACAAAACATGCCTACAGAGACAAGGAAGATAAGCGGTGCAAACCCGCTAGAGTGCCCTAAACCACATGACGCAATCTTTTATGAGATCTCTACTACCCAAACACACTCACGACGTGTTTATTCTTGTGATGAAGCATCAGGTTAAAAATTACGCGACCAACATCACTTTAAAACTCTGACCTTCAAAGGACTCTCGCCTATCACTTCTGCGGATTGCGTCCATGGCTCCAGCGTCAATCCAGCGTCCTCGCTAAAGCTATGGATAACTGATACATACTTGACATTGATTTCCATCGATCTCTTGCATTTATCTGGTGACCAGCTTGTCACCTCGTTGTACCAACGGTTACTGAAAAATCTCGTGAATATCCGCACACCCTGTATGCTAAGTCTCAACCTGGAGACCACCTTGTCACCTCGATGCACCGCCATGTTATAGTACAATCAGGTAAATATCCGCACACCCTGTGTGTGTGAAACCACATTGTACGTGTTCACCCGGTGATCATCTTGCCACCTCGTTGCACCGGCATACTGCATTACAATCTAGTGAATATCAACAAACCCTTTGTGTGTGCTACTTCTTTACCTGGTGACCATCTCATCACCTCGTCGCATCATCATGTTACAGTACAACCTCTAGTGCAAACTCTTTGCTCTAATTTTCACTAGGTGACCATCTTGTCACTTCGTTGCACCGCCGTGTAACAGCACAGTCTAGTGAATATCAACACACCCTTTGTGTGTGCTACGTCTTCATCCGGAGACCATTTTGTCAACTCGTTGCACCGTCATGTTACAGGACAATGTAGTGAATATCCGCACGCAAGTCTTCGTGCCACCTTGTCACCTCTTTGAACTGCCGTGTTATTCTCGCGAATATCCGCAAAACTCTTTGTGCTAAACCTTCACTCAGTGACCACCTTAATTCGTTGTACTGCCATGTTGCAGCACAATCTACTGAATAGCCACAAACTCTTTGTGCTAAACCTTCACTTAGTGACCACCTTACCGCCGTGTGGCAGTACAATCTATAGTGAATATCGGCACCAATTTTAGCCTTCACGCCCATTGCGCATAGCCAAAATTTGCATACAAAAGAGATTGGCGCCACGTGCAATGCTCCTGCACGTGCGTTCCACATCACAGACAACCAAATTAGTATTAGAAAGCAGAACAAGCACATCAACGGCGGTCCCGGTTCTAAGGCCGTGTTTGAGTGAAGTCACCCAAACCGCGATTCGGGTAAGTCACATTCCTCACATCTGGTCCACGTGCCACACACTCCTGTAAAACCGTGTCCGATCACAATTCGCTTAAGCTACATTTATTGCTGTTTGATGATAACACGCAAGGCGGCGTGTTATTAATGTCAGAGGTCAACGACCTGCTTGCTGATGCCCCCCTCCCAGAGTATCTCGGCCGAATGCCGACGTGGTCCCGCCAGAGGCGGTGAAGATCGCCCTAGAACGGACACTTTATTTGACCATTACTGCTCTTTAAGTCGCTGCCACGTAAAATTTGGTATTGCATATAAAAATATAAATATCAACCCGTAATCCATGACCAGGCGAAGTTACATTGAAATCATATTGCGTTCAGACGCAAATCGCGATGCTGGAAAACCCATTCGAAACCACCTCTAGAAGTGGCTTGGGATCGATGCGCTTTCAATGTGATTTCGGAGCGTTCAGATGGAGCCACTTCAAACCGGCTTCGGGGTAAACTACATGTAAAGCGCCTTGGGTGACTTCACTTAAACACGGCCTAAATGCCCAAACTTTGCACCAAACTACGCGAAAGCTGGTTATCACAAACCGCATCGAAAATCTGAGAACTTTCAAATCAACAATACAGCATCAACGATCGAAACAAATGGCTAACCACAGTAAACCATGTCAGCGATGAGACGATGCTGCAAGACCTGCCGGGGCCTGAGCCGGCCGCCTGCCGCTTGAGGCTGTCCCGGCTCCGACATTCGAGCTGAACTTCGCCGCTGCTCTGCGGCGTTGGCTGGCCTTGTTGGTGGGTCCTGTTGCTCTTCCTGCTGGCGGCTGCTCCGGATCGGGGTGCCTTTTGCTGGGGGCTGGACTTGTCCCTCGGCTGGGAGAACTTGCTGTACTCTGCCTTGCCCGGGTTGGTCTTGTTGTTGTCCTATTCTGCGTGGGTTCCTTCCGGCTTCACTGGTGCTTGGAGAAACTGGTTGCTGGAATCCATACTATAAAACGACAACAACAACGTGCATGTCAGAACAAGCTCATCAGACCAAATTTCCCCAACCCGAGCAAGCCTCCGCCACGCGAAGCAGATCGGCTAAGTCGTGGAGCGCTTTGGGAAAACTTGACTCGAGTCGCCCTCCCTGAGTAACACTCAGAAAACTAAATGCTGAAGCCCACCCTTCTAAAACCCAAACGAGAAACAAAACGTGTCAGAACAAAGAGACGGCGGCTGCACGTGCGCCAGAACTCCCCGAACGTACTGTTACTAAAACAGACCTGGGGAGCACCCAGAACTACTCAAAATCCTCAAACGTTTGTAAAAGAGAAACGTTACCCTCGCCACACCCCAAACCTTTTCTTGGAGCAAACTTGCGAGCTGAACGAAGAAGTTCTGCACGTGGGGACCGGGAAAACTGTGCTGGGCTTCACTGCGACCCTAGCCTGCTGCTCCTCGCGGTGCGGACGGCTCCGAAGAAATGGATGAAGTGATAAGGCGCGCATGCCTTATATGGGGTTGGTTAATTAGGTTGTCAAGGATGACCAACGAGAGCGCAGTGTAATTACAGTAGATACCGAAAAAAACCGTGAAACCTACCTTGATCGCACCTGGTGCCGAAGTACCCGGCTTCGCACACGTAAAGCCATCCAGTCGGACATGTCCCGTCAAACCTGTCACAGATCTCAATTGCGTAACAATGCCCACAGGTTGTGCCACAGTCAGGGCCGTACCACCCATCGTCACACTCTATCAAAGAAATTAAGATAAATCACGACGTGAATAAGAACTCAAGTTCAAAGTTCAAAAGGAAATTCATATGAGATATTTACTGACTAGAAACCCACCTTGATCACAGTTGTCACCATTGTAACCGGCAGCGCACACGTGAGACCATCCGGTCGGACATGTCCCGTCAAACCTGTTACATGTCTGACTGCGGTAACAATGTCCACATATGGTGCTACAGTCATGGCCGTATGTACCGGAACACTCTGTACGAGAGTTTTCCAGAATAAGAAATACATAAGAAATATTTCTATAAATTAAGATTAAATCAGATAAAATTACAGTAGATAACGACAAAAGCCACGAAACCTACCTTGATCACACTTGGTGCCGCTGTACCCGGCTTCGCACACGTAAAACCATCCAGTCGGACATGTCCCGTCAAACCTGTCACAGGCGCGCAGGTAACAATGTCCGCAGGGGGTGACACAGTCAGGGCCGTACGAATCGTAACACTCTAACGAGATAAATCACAAAGTGAATAAGAAATGTTTATAGTAAAATGATGAACTTGAGATCAAATGGCCACTGTCACCTTTATCAGGATAGTTGATGACAATTCATGACAATGTAAGAAATCTTTATATTCAAAAGGAAATCTATATTTCTATAATTGAATATTTACTGACTTACCTTGATCACATTTGTCACCATTGTACCCGGCCACACACACATGATCCCCTCCAGTCGGACATCTCCCGGTGAACCTGTCACAGGTCTGACTCCTGTGACAATGTCCACAGGTTATACTGCAGTCAGGACCGTACGTACCGGAACACTCTGTAGGAGAAAGAATCATTATGGTTCACCACACCACGAAGTGGTGTGGTGAAACCATATTGCTTTTTCTGATGTTTCTTCTCCTTCTTCTCCTCCTTCTCCTGCCATTTTTTAAATGGATTCAGCTTCTTCATTTTAGGGCCTAAGGTCCTGAAATTTGGTATGGAGGTACAGTGGGCAAATACCCCTAGGCGTTTCTTAAATTATTGTGATACAGGCTTTTAGAATGGTTTTATTTGAGTTTTTTGGCTGTGTTATAGCAAATGTATTACTGTGTTAGTTTGCCTTGTTTACCACGTTTGGGCATGAGTCATCACAATAGAATGCAGGGCATCAACCAATAGGCATGCAGCTTTCCTCTATACTTCTTGCTGATTGGCTGTTGGGATTTAACTTGATTAACACCTGCACAGAAGCATTTCCATACTGACAGTATGTCTGTATTCAAGTGTTTTGGTAGGTATTTCAAGCTTTCCTGCTCCAGCATTGGAATGCCGGGCATGGACGTTTTTTTTTATTTTGAAAATCAACAGTTTGCATTATGCAATTAAAAATCCTAACCAATAAAGTAGGGAATAGCTATCCAACTGTTGTTTTAGTTGTATTTTACTTCATATTATAGTTATATCAATGTAAATCATTGTTTTCCCTTGTGTTTCTCATTCTTTCCCTGCCATGTGGTAAAATGTGGTGAACCCATCGCTGTATTTGCTCCAAAGCAAATATTGGCCTTTCTAGTTAGAAATATGGTATACATAAGCGGACATGTCAGACAATAGCAAATGTGGTTAGCTTGACTAAAGCTAATAGTTGAAACCTACCATGTAAATGGTATTATACTCATTCACACAAAGTTATCTAAGTCCTCTAAGTAATTACTCACAAAGTAATTCTTATGGATGATGTCCTCGCGGGATTAATTTTGGCCTGTTCCCAGAAAAAATGCTGCTTCTGCTGTAACTATGACCGAAGAGTCACCACAGTGCCGCAAATCGTAAGATTAGCGTTAAACCTGTAACACGCAAGGCTATTGACAGGATCATCCTCTTAATAAAAGACAACGTTGCACTATTGACACGATCATCCTGTCAATAGACGTAAGTGTATTTTCTGTTGTTGACAGGAAAATCCTGTCAATAGTACAACAGTTTCTGCTATTCAAAGAAGTTACGGAATCTCCACTCGCATAGTTACAGGTATCAATGCAACATGGTCCGAGCGGACAGACTGCAATCAACCAATAAGAAAATTGCATTTTACAATTTATTCATCTTAGGGTCATTTTCACCCATTTTTTATTCCCCTAATCACTACCAGATTTCAACAGGTAAAATTATGGTGATCACCTGTCTGACAGTTGTCCCCCTTCCATCCGGCCTCACACCCTCCACTAGAGCAGACTCCAGTCCGGATGTCACACACGGAATCTCCACTCCCACAGTGACAGGTGCCGGTACAGTTGGGCCCGAACTCACCGGGCAAGCAGGCTGAAACAGGACTTGACGTTCAATTTCACCCAAAAATATGCAATGGCGCTCTATTTCTTTATATTCATCTCTTTTTTTTTTGTGGTGCTTAAGATCACAGATGACTAGAAGGGACCTATATAAATAGCCAGGCTGTCATTTATTCCCGAATTTTTCGATATTGCTTCTGGTCAGTCTGTGTATCGGTCTGTGTGCGTGCGTGTCTGTGTTTTTCTATATTTATATATTTATATATATAAAACATTATATGCATATATTATATTAATGTGGAGGTAAATTGCATTATTAATGATGAAATGTTTAAATGCAACCTTTACAAATAATAGGAATTCTACACATACAATTTAATTAAATTGGGGTTAAGAGAACAAGTATAAAATAGATTAGGCTACAATGTCATGTAACCATCACATTTTCATTATGAATGAAAAAAAAATTCAACATATTGATACATAAAATGCTAAGAGTCTAAACATTTATGTAGGTATGAGATCTCTGAATTTTTGTTTTAAACTGGCAGAATAATCCCGAGTCGAGATGTTTTAAATGTCACTTTAAATCTTCGCTGAGACAAGGTGTACTATCCTCTCGAATACCCGGCTGAAATGCAATTGCGGCTTCTGAATTCCCAGTGAATTTGCTGTTTATAGGCGTGTGTAATTGTATTTAGCTAAAATTGCAACTTATTAGTAACCATTACTATTATAATAGTGTTGTTTCTAGAGAGTTTTCTAGAGTGCTCATACATTAGCTATGTGCAGAATGAGCTTACACGAACGCTACGCCAGTAAACTCAGCATGCAAGTAGCGGCGTTTTTAATAGATTTGCGTGTGATCCTATTAGAGTTCCTGGATCGGCTAATTTTCAGTGATTTGAGTTTGTACTATTTTATTAAAGAAACGAGAGAAAACCGGGGTTGCCCTGAATAGTGGTAGGTACAAAAAAAGGTTCCCGAATATAATCTTTGGAAACAAATGAATGACGTCATCATGTTTGATTGCCCTTTTCATATTTTTTCAAAGAAAAAATACAGATTTTTGGCAATTTCAAACAACACAAAACGTGTACAAAAATATTTCAATAATCTTAAGTTATGATGTAAGATCAATAATTTCGCTATAACCATACACGTCTTAATATACCGTCAAAACATTTTTAAAACATTCATCACCTTTCTGACAGGTGTTACCCTTCCACCCAGCCTCACACCCTCCACTAGAGCAGACTCCAGTCCGGATGTCACACACGGAATCTCCGCTCGCACAGTGACAGGTGCTGGTACAGTTGGGCCCAAACTCACCAGGCAAGCAGGCTGAAACGGAAAAGGGCTTGACCTACCGTTAACGTCACAAAAATATATAATAATATAAATATATAAAAATATCTAATGTCGCTCTATTTCTTTACATTCTTTTTTTGCTACCTTGAAACAATAAGTGATGCTTAAATTGCAGATGAATAAAAGGGTGGATACCTACGGGTTGTGTTTCAAATTTTGTGTGTACTTTTTGGAGTTAAGCCGTGCTTTTCTTTGGTGGGAGGGGGCACGGCCGTGTCCCCGGATTATGGATATTGTTTTTGGTCTATCTGTGAATGTCTATATTTCAACATACTTGTGGTCAGCAAAACTTAAAGCTTTTCTCGATTGTTATGATCTTTTAGTAGGTTGGTAGCTATTGGGGAGACTAGAGTGAAGGTCAAATTTTGGGCCACCTGATGGCCGACCTTTGTACTGCTACATAACTTCTGATATTTGTACATTTTCTCATGGACATGCTATAGTCTTAATTCCTTTGGTGGCTGATAGATTTTCCTATCAGGAAAGATGAAAGTTATAAAATTCTAGGTTCTGGTAAGCCCCTGCTATACCCTTTGAATGCCAATATTAAATTCCCGGACACATTTGATGACTTTTTTTAATTTTCGTTCTCAGATTCACAACTATCAAACTCGCACACGTTCCGATTTTCATATCCCCCTAGTAATAACTTCTCTTGCCCAAATGTCGGTTAGATACAAAGGTGTCACCTTATGGAATGAACTAACTCCAGCCCTAAAGAATCCTACCTTGTCTCTTCTCTCACTTAAACAAGCTTTGAAAAACCATCTGATTAACGAACCTAGCCCCCTGTAGTAGTTTTATTTAGTGTTTTCTCCTATTTTAACTCATACCAATTATTATCATTACCTTATTTTCATTGTCATTAACTTATACCATACATTATTTCATTATCCTTATTGTATTATTTCCATTTTCTATTGTATTATTTCCATTTATTAATTATATTTAATTTTGTATAGTTTAGAGGAGGAGGGCCTTGTATAAGCATTCCATGCTTCTCCCCTCCTCCTGCACCTGTTTCATCATTGTTTTTATATTATTATTGTCCGTCTTGTTAATGTGCAAACAATAAATCAAATCAATCAAAATCAATATTGAATCTTCCATTTGTTCTGGAAAAGCACATCTTACATGCTCTATGGCAAAATAAAATCCATGCATATTCATATCCTTGTCAGGTATCCATTGCAATTTCAGCAGTTTTGAGCAATAAATGGTTTGATGTTTGAGGGTCTCCTAGATGGTCGCAGAACTGCTAACGTAAAATATTTTAACTATATGGGGCTTCATACTTGTTCCTCATACTTAATCACACATACAAAGTACATGTATGGGCCGATTTGGTCATTGTGTGATATGTGCCATTATATCATCTCACCAGTATTACACTCTATCCCCATGAGTCCAGGAGCGCAGGAACAGCCGTACGGGTCCGTCACACACAGCAGCTGGCCAGTACAGTCTCCACCGTCACACTCTCTCGTGCAGCTTGTACCGATCTTGTTATTCGTACATGCTTTGAGGATAAACGGACAAAAAAGTATTGGCATCAGACAACTCATGAGTTTATGTGCTGGGATCTGTACTTCAAGAATGTTTTTGGAGTCAGTAATAGCAACGTTGAATCGTATTTGGCACATATTTAGCATATCGACTAAAGAAAGACAGTTTACGTCATTAACTAAAGAAATTAAAACAAGTCGTACCGCTTTCACAGTTGTGTCCATGAAACCCCGGAGGACAGACACATTCCCCCGTGTTGTCGTCACACACACCGCCGTTGTAGCACACTGGACAGTCATCGGTACAGGAGGGTGGACCCCACTTGTTCTCGGCACAACCTGGGTAAGAGCCAAGTATTACTATTGTCATAAGCGCTAATTGTCAGCAAAGAAATAACGTACATACCCACAGAATATCAACGATACCGATGTGAACTGTCTTCTAAGTAGACACAAAGTTAGCACAATATTTGAAATTCTCTGGAAATTAATACATTAACTGTAGATTTAAACTATCTGCATAATATAAGTTCAAATAAGATTTCTGCATCTCAGCATTAAAAAAACACAATTGAATTACATGTGGAGAAGTTAACCTGTTCTAAAATTGAAAACAAATGGACTTTGCTTTTGTGCACGTGTAACCAACCTTTTGTCAGCAAGGAAGGGGAGCGATATTGACTTTTAACGATGCTTTTCAACAGACTTTGATACTTTGCTGACGCCACACGAACCTAATTAACGTGTCCTGAGCGAATTGAAATAAAATTCATCAACAATTCCAGTGAGGAAATTTTCTGCTTCAAGAACAGCTAATATTGTTTCAATTTTTTTGCAACTTTTGAACTTGTGGACCACAGTCAACACGTAAATTACAATTATGATCTGCTATTCGATTTTTTTTCAAATTCGGATGAGCCTGAACTGATGTGAACATGCAAGTCATAATACACGTTACGTATACCTCTGACAATGAGCCTCATGATGCCCTGTTTTCTTTCCGTGTCCCCCTGATAGTAGCACTCATAGATCCCCTCATCTGAAGACTGGACACTGGCTATGGTCAGGTTAAGTCCGTTCTGGCCGGCCAGAACAGTACCTCCGACCCCGCCCTTCCTCCACTCCAGGGTACCGTTTCTACTGGACTTCTGTACCATCTGTAAAGTCACGGGGTCTCCTAGGCTGGCGGTTACTGTGAAGGCCACTGGCCAGACATCGGCTGAAAAAAGTTTGTAAATTATACATATAAGTAAATGACTCACCTTTCCCTTGGTGTATTTTGTAATGAGACCAGGTCATTACAAAATATCACGGATTAAATAGCTACGTGAGCGCAGAGATCGAGGTGGTACATTGAGAATTGGTTATCAAATAGCCAGAAGGCGTCAACCAATAAGAAGGCTCCATTTGTCATCGGTTATCAGACCATAACCTCAAAAGTGGTCGGTTATTAGAATAACCGACTACTTTTTGGACCGCACCATTATACAGGGGACAGGACTGTATCTTAACAGTATAGTTAAGATTCAGGTGTTTTTTTTCATACGCAACCAAATGGTCCTATCTAATGGTGCTGACGTTTCGGTGACTATCAGAAACCTTCCTCAGAGTTCTGCTTCTCGCCGCTATATGTAGCCGATTTAGGCAAGAAAATTTGGTTGCCTAAAAGAAAACTCATATCCTATACTTTACCAACCTGATGAAACCATTTTTGGGATTATTGTTGATAGCCGTAATATTTATCTATTTCAATGAATACCGCGATCACGATTAAAGAGATTTAAATGAAATCGAAACAAAAAAAACTAAACATGATTTTTGACACCCCCACTAAAAGTGGTGCTGTTCCAACGTCACGTGGTCACAGCAGATGGTTGCCTAGATGATATGTTTTTCTGTCCATGCCATCTTGTTTTACGTGACATAGAATATGAGAGTTTTTTCGGGAATGGAGGAATTTTATGACGGAATTTTTGTCCAATAACTGTCAGTTGGATAGGCTATTATGATAATACTCTAAACGTTATTGACCCACCTTATCCTCGGTGTATATGGTCATATAATCCCTGGTCAGGTTCTCTACGCTAACTTAATTCGGTGGTTATTGCACCTGGCCAGGAATTATCTCACCGTAAACACATCGGGGTGGGGCATTAACCCTTCATACCGAGAAACAGGCGGGTTATCACGGTAACCGTTTTGTAATATAGCCTTTCCGAACATGTGTTTTTTTTTAATGCACGCTTCCTCTAACTGTTCAAGTCACTGTCTTTCCAAACAAAGAAAGCCATTTTTGACGAGCAATGATGATGGGTAACGGTAATGTTTAAAATTTCGTAATACAGAGACAGAGACTGTTCTCTATCCCAAATCATGTTTGATCAAACCATCGTTGGAACAGACGAAAATCATTTTGCATTGATATACACTTTCCAAAATCGGACTACTCATGAGAGAATTTCAAGCAGATAAGACACAAGCAGATGTATTCAACAACACGTTGTGTACTCACCCTGTGATTTCATTTTGAAGGTGATGGCCTTCTCAGTTTGACTTCCGTCGCTTACTTGACATGAGAATGCTCCAACCCGGAAATCACCAGCTCTAACCAAGATTCTCGTACTCCACCATTCTCCTGACAGCTTGCTGGTGCCTCTCTGTGGTGTAAATGTTGTTCCTGAGCCAGTATCAGCATCTACACCGAACTGGTACCCGTTCTGGTTGATGGTACTACCCGTGTAGTAACAGTACAGCCAGGTGTCATCGGACTCATCAAAGAACTGGTACTTACTGACGATAGTGACGTCTACTACACCTACCGATACAAAAGAAGAGATTAGAAAGTTTTCTATTTAATCATTTTTAGTGGCACTACTTTATCCTTCTAAGTAGTCTTGCATCCTCATATTTTGAAAGGAAAAGCAGGTAATCCAAAATAGCAATGATAATATTTGATATCTGCAATAATAGTACTTCGTGTTCTCATTTTTGGCAATATCATTTTAAAAGCATGTTATTATGAATCGAGTTTAAACTGTAATGTCCAACTCAAGAAAATGGACTAACCCAAATTTTCGACTGTATAAATCCAGTCTTTGCCAAGGAATGAACAATCCACCGCTTCCGTGACGTCACGCAGATAACACACGTGACTCCGTGAGCAGTGGACCATAGGTTGCAGAAAGTCTGTGGCGCCCCCCGTCTCTGTTGAGGGATGGTTGTAATGCCCTGATGTAGATGGCCTTTTTTAATCCCTCGGGCAAAGAAGTCCGATTCTGAGTCCAAGATTCTTACTTTGTTTAGTGAGACTGAATGACCTGGCCATGGCGATTCTATGTGTATATGTTGTGAGACCTCCGAAGTTATCATGCCAGTGAGCCTGAGATTGACCAGTGTTATGAAACGCAACATGGCTATTGAATGTGAGGATTTCACAAACCATCCAAAAACTTGTTTTCCTAAACAAAGAACAACTGAGCGCTTGGATGCCTGCGTAAATCAGTCACTTCCGGCTGCTTTAGAGGAGGAGGTCAGGTCAAGGGTCAATAGGTCACAGATCCGGGAACATAGCGTAACAAAAGAAAGGCAGATAAACAAATTTACGCGGCTAATCCAGAAGAACAAGGAACAGACTAGCCGGTCACTACCATCAGAATGCACACACAGATGGGTTAAGAACTGTTCAGACAGACTTTTGAAGGACCCAGAACTAGACCTTCCCGTATTGGTGAAAGGAAAGATTTCGCGGCCTCCGAGCAACAGGTACCCGTAGTTGACAATTTATTACACAAACTAAACTAGCTTGTAGAAGAATCCCCGAGAGGGAAGCTAACGTTCTAAGATCATTAGCATTGTAAACAAGCTAAAGAAGTGTCAACCCAACTTAACTAAAGGGGACCATACAGCACTCAAGTCACTACAACAGGACAAAAGTATACAATGTAATTCTTAACCGGCGGATAAAGGGCGACTTACCGTAGTTCTGAATAAAGTAGACTACAACCAGAAGTGTACAGAATTACTGGGGATAGTAATACTTACCTGAGACTGGGAAAAAGGGATCCAACATCGAAATACAAGAAACAACTAGTGACTGTGCTCCAACGCTTGGAGAAAGAAGGTGGGTTGTACAGGTTCCCGTGACAGACAATTTTATCCAACTACAGAGGTTCCTCCTAAGTTTTACGGTCTTCCTAAAGAACACAAAACTGGTATTCCACTGAGACCAATAGTGAGCAGTATTGGCTCAATCACTTGCGCCAGTAGACGAAGCAGCTGATGTAATTTTACAAAGATTGAAGGAAGACTGCACTCTACCAAAACGTTCCAAACTATCCCCAGAACAGTTGGTGGACTTGAGGAAGGTGTGTCTAAACTGTGCTTACTTTGTGTATGATGGCGTTTTCTGCAAACAATGGAGCTGCCATGGGGTCACCTGTGTCCCCCATTGTATGCAATCTATACTTAGAGCATTTAGAACAACGTGCCATTAAATCTGCCTCACAAACCCCTGTGTGGTGGTACATATACGTTGATGACACTTTTACCAAGCTTTAAAAGGCGTGTGCACAGGAGTTCACAGACCAATTCTAAATGACCTTGACTCTGACACAAAGTTCACATTTAAAGAGGAAGAGAATATGTCGCTAGCCTTTTTGGATACGCTAACAACAGTAAAAGAGGACGGGTCCCTGCAGGTTAAGATATACTGCAAACCCACATATACTGACCAATATCTAAACTTCCATTCTAATCACCCCCTGGATCATAAACTCGTTATCCGCAGGGTTATCCGCACCCTGTTTCACAGAGCGGAAACAATTATAACTGACCCTCAAGATTTAGTAGAGGAGAAAGCTCACATTTCACAGGCACTAAGAAAATGTGGGTACCCCACTTGGGCTTTAGACAAGGCCAGTAGACAAAAGCCCACAGACCGTAACCAGTATCAGAGCAAGAACAAAAGCCCAAATAGAGGCCTACTTGTTCTGTCTTACAGGAAAGGCCTGAGTGTAGGGCTCAGGAGGATCTTTGCGACACATGGGATTAAGACCTGTTTTAGACCAACTAGAACCCTCAGGAATATACTGGTCGCACCTAAGGACAAAAGAACAACTCGGGAAAGCAAATGCGGGGTAGTTTACCATATACAGTGTCAAGGACAGACTTCCAAGGGCCCGTGTAAGGAAACCTATTTTGGAGAGACTGAAAGATCCCTCAAGGCTAGTTCTTAGAACACAAACGGCCTAGGTCGACTACTTTGGAGGTCTCACAACATATACAGTGTCACATAGAATCGCCAGGTCATTCAGTCTCACTAAACAAAGAAAGAATCTTGGACTCAGAATCGGACTTCTTTGCACGAGGGATTAAAAAAGGCCATCTACATCAGGGCATTACAACCATCCCTCAACAGAGACGGGGGGCGCCACAGACTTTCTGCAACCTATGATCCACTGCTCACGGAGTCACGTGTGTTATCTGCGTGACGTCACGGAAGCGGTGGATTGCTCATTCCTTGACAAAGACTGGAGTTGTACAGTCGAAAATTTGGGCGAGTCCAATTTCTTATGTGTAAACTTGCTGCATAATAACTTCTACCAACACAGATGAACTTTCAAGATAAAATACATGTTATATTATGTATAACAGTGTCACGCAACTTCTGTAATGTACTGTAATATCGTGCCTAATCCTAACCCTAAAGTATTCGGGTATGGAACTAGCTAGGCAAAGTACTGAGTACTAAATAAGATATCATATCTAAACCATTGAATTTATCAATTTCTTTTGACCAGGGGTATGCAATAAACATATTTATTAGCAATTCACAAAATAACATGCACACATTCTTCTCAATAATTATTACGTTAGAATCTCTGCAGTTTTATGTCATTAGTTACCCAGTGAACTTGACTCAAATAAAGAGCAGCAGGGAAACTGTGTTGTGCTTACTACCGAACAAGAAGTTGCGCTTCGTCTCACGCACGCCTCTAGGTCGTTTGAAAACATAGGCAGAGAGAGTGAGAGAGAAAGAGGCGGAGAGAGCACCTATATCAGCTGCTAGAAACCAGCATTAGAAACCAGGTATCTGCGTCACAGGCAATAGCACTGTCAGAGATATGCATTGAATTAAAAAATGCTAAAACATTTCCCATTTACACTACTATAAACTGAACTGCATGAACCTGTATATATCTTACTTAGTAATTATAGGATACATATAGCTGGGTAATATTATGTTAACTAGCTAAGTGGGCTGGGATAGCAATGTATATTAGGGAAGGATTTTATGCGATACTTTTGGGCGCCTATACACTGAACGATTAGCGAGGAAACTAAAAACCACACTCACCTGTTATAATTGGTGTAAGGTAGACCAGAAGGAAGACAGTCGTCATCCAACGCTTATCGCACACCGAGACTTCCCGGGCGGTCTTCATGCTACCTTCGGTGCCCAAATTCACGTCTTTATGTGCAGATATATCGAGGAATAGTACATTTGAGCGACTCCGTGCGGTAACCTTCCCTGTCGCTGTTCAGGTGCCGAGGAAACGACTCTTACTCGAAGCTACTTCCCTGTGTCGTCATGGGAAAAGTCAATGTTTATGTTCAGTCGGTCCTTCTCATTGTTAACCCACCAGTGACACGTTTACACCCCATTGCCTACCAAATATACTCCATTGCACCAGGTAACGTTTTACACAGCCCAGGTGTGACCCATTGCCACTTAGAAAAATCAGAAATGTCCAAGCTGTGTTTTACATTTAAGCTGAATTCATTTCCAAACTAAGCCAGGGCTTGCCGCGCGTCCTGCATGAATGTTAAGAAGTTATTTTGTTCCTCGTCTCACTGTTGACACAAGCATACCCGTGCCTTTCACTGGGATTAGGCAGAACAAGTGGTGTTGGCAGTTTTTTTAGGCCAGACCTTGTGAATCGCATCATCAAACACCTGTGGCCGACTTGTTTTTTTTTTCGCAAAGGAAACCAGATAATAAGAAATCGTCGATCTCATACCTCCGTGAAATATTTAGAGTTTTTGTAAATTTCTCACTGATTCTGTCAATGCATTATTTCCAATGATTCCTATAAAGCAGTATTTGTGGGACCTTTAAGTCTGACGTGGCTAGCATCAGAAAATAACTAAGGAGGCACAAAAAAACACACAGACAAATTGAATACCAGACCTCCGTACACTTACATAGAAAACCAGTGTACGGAGGAGAGTATGTATACGTACGACGATTAACATTTAGTATGTTGAGGTGTGAGACTATCTTTCAACACCTTGGACAGGTCGGTACCTTCGTTAATTAAAATTTTTAGCCGTGTGTTGGCTTCGTCAATTGGCTTCTAACTGGTGAACGGTCTAGCTACAAAATATTTAATGTGTCTAATATGTACTAAACTGCGAGTTCAGAAAATGTGGTCAAAGTTTGCTCCCACCACCCCCCACCCCACCCCCAGCACAGAGTTCACACATAGTCCACATCATGCTGACGTGTTGATACATAACCACCAGCTTGGCTCTGTTGACAGCAAACAGTCTTTCCACGGGACAAGACTGTCTTCATGGTTGAACAGCAGACCGGGTTCTGTTGACGGTGACTAAGCTTAGACCAGGCGCCAGCTAATGTGTCACGTCAGGGGGAAAGAATGCGCCTCATCAGTGGTACCAAACACCTGTCCTTGTATTATCATGAAAGTTCATCTGCGTTAGTAATAATTACAGTACAACTTTGAACTTTATTCCAACACACAATTTACAGAGAGATCAAATTTTCAGCGACCACTGTCGCCTTCATCAGGATAATTAATGACCAATCACTTCGAGATCTCGCGAGAGTTAAGGTTTACAAACACGTGACCTTATTCACATGAGACTTTACTGATACGTGACGTAAGCAATTGATCAAAAGTGCCAGTGAGTTCATACCGTCCACCATCTCACGAGATCACGCTGTGAAATGATTGGTCATTAATTATCCTGATGAAGGTGATAGTGGTCGCTGAAAATTTTACCTCTCTGTAAATTGTGTGTTGTAATAAAGTTCTACATTTTATTACACCTGTTTTTGTGTTGATGGTATCAAAATATACACACACATGCCGCACCCGAACTGTACTCTCTAGCAGACCAGAAAAGGGATTTTGTAATTGTACACCCGATATATTTTTGGAACTATTTTCTAAATATTTCTTCCAAATTTTGCTCAAAAAGGCCATATTTCTACAAAACAAAGTAAAATGTTTTTACAATTTAAAAAAAATTGTACTTGTCGTAGATGTTACGATGGTGAGTCAGACTAATTTCGAGATACAATGGCTTGATCCTAACCCATTTTCGGTCCATCTAAATACGTCTCTTTGAATAAACGTAGTATTAGCAATTCGCAAAAATAATCTATACTAGTATCCAATTTTACATTGCAGACAATAACATCATGCTTGATACGTCTGGACTCAATTCATATACTTATACAAGGCTTATGCATACAATCGACCTGCTTCAACTCTTATATATATTAGATATCAGCTACCAATAAATAGAACATTAGACTATCTAATATATTGGGGCGAAAAACTATTCGAATCTTTAACTCTAGAGCATTCCAAAGTGTTACGTCGTTTTTTACTGGTATAAAGCAGTGAAGGGAGGTAGGAGATCAGCATTACTTCTTCTAAAAAGTAGAAACCACAGATTGAACAACAAAACTGTAGTAAGAGGTCACCAATCTGTCACGATGTCTGTAGTAGAAGGCTCGTCTAATGGTGAAGACACTCACGTCCCAGACGATAGCGTGGAAGAAATGGAGAATTCTCACTGCTCCACACAGACAGATGAATATGGTGACGGCTTCATTGAGCCATATCTCACTGCTTATCACCTGGGGAATCTGGATGCAGAACATCCCGGGGAGATCTCGTCGTCTCAACAGGAGCCAAGGTGTCATGGTGCTTCGTTCTTAAAAGGTGAGATTTACAATGTATAATTTTATTGAAAAAGTTCACATTGCCATTGTATTTTTTTTTACAAAAAAATGTAGTAAAATGCAATACATACATACATACATACAGAAAAATCACATACTGGGTTATTTGAGTTGGAATTTGGCCTCAGGGTTGCAGCTTGACAAATACAATTAATTCAATATAAACATTCAATAGCATGAATAGTTTGTAGGAAATACAACTAACAGTTTACATACTGCACCCAAATAGATATTGAATTCATTTTTTTTTTCTATTTAGTAGATGGAACAGACGACGACAACATCGAGCCATACCTTGTTTCTTACCACTTCGAAGTCACCCACTGTGAAAGTGCCCGTGGCCCGGGTCAGAATGAAAAGGAAGCATCGTTGAGTGAAGATCACACCGAAATGTTCAGACGCTTTGAAGATTCTTTAAGAAATGGTATGTCTGTACTCAAACAACAGAAACTGACACATTAGCATTAATATTTCCTGATTGTGTCTTATTTTAGATTCATATTTTGTTATCTTTAAAAATTGTTTTCGCTTTAATAACATGTCTATTCTTTGTTTTATAAAAATGTATAATAAAGTAGTGGTACATGACGACAACACAGGTGTACATAATGAGCCCAAAGAGTTTCCTTTTTTATTAATTGAATAATTGTACAATAACGTTTTGGCTAATATGAGATTTGATACTTTGAACAACATGTTGTTTTGGTGGAGAATATCATTAACTGGTATAACGTATTAGTTAGAAGACCTTCTTTCTTCTTTCTGTTGAGGAAGCCGCCTTCAGCGGTTTGAAGATTCTGCTTCCTATGGTGGTGGGTGCATGCCGAGGAGGTCAGGTTTCACAGCTTGCCCCTAAACTCCTCCAGAGAAGGGGAGAGGGCAATGTCTGCATCCAGAGTGTTCCAGTCAGGAATTGTCCGCGGAAAGAAGGAGTTCTGTCTGTAGGAGGTCCTACTTTGGGGCACTCTGTAGGCAGCAGAGTGTGACTGTCTAGTGGCCCTTGTCTGGACATTGGGGGTGGGTCTTGTTTGCATGTTAATGCACAGTGCACCGGTGTGATACTTGTAGAATGTTGTAAGTCTAGCCAACCTACGCCGCTCCCGAATTGCGAAGTGGGATCCACTGGAGCTCTTCCAGCATGTTGTTTACGCTAGAGGTGCGTCTGAAGCGTTGGCTAACCCAGCGGGCGGCCCTCCGCTGCACCTGTTCTAGCCTGTTTATGTCCTTTACTATGTGAGGATCCCATACGGGACTGGCAAACTCGACGATAGGTCGGACCAAAGTGAAATACGCAATTTCTCGAATCCTTTTTGGGCAGGCTTTCAGATTTCTCCTCAGAAAACCGAGGGTTTTACTAGCCTTGTTCACAATGTTCCCAATGTGGATATGGATATGGACCTAATATGGATAACCAAAACAAAACCTTAGGAATACGTTATTGTAAAGGCTAACACCATTTAGTGAAGGTATGAGATCGCGAGACTCTAGTTCTGATAACACATGTTTTGTTGAAAATACCTTGGGCCATGATGCAATTAACAGCGTTTATGTTGTATAGAAACGTCAAAAAGAAGGTTCTGCAGCATCCATGAAGACACTTTACAAAATGAAGAGTCAACTCAAACCAAGGAGGATCATGATACTAGTATTTCGCAAGACCCAACAGACCACTACTATACATACATTGGTGACCACGACTATACCTACATCGACAACACATCGATAGCGGGTAGACAACATGTAAAAGAAGAGAGAGGTTCGGATTCCGTCACACATGGTCTAGATCCACCCAAAACAACCGAGCCCATGAAAAGCAATATACAAGATGAGGAACATAGAGGTAAACTATGCTTCCCTAATATATGTAGTTTTATAGCAAATGCACGTATTTCATGCCCCTTTTTCTGTGATAATACTGGGTAGTTTTCACTTACTAGTATTTCTAGACCAAAGAGACCAAATCCTTTATTGTCGCATTTCTGTTTATTCTACAAGTAGAAAGCTAATAATGCCCTACATGTATTGCGGCAGATAACATAACTGGAAACATGTATGTAAAATGATATACCAAGTGTAACGTTGCGAGGTAAATCTGTTTAGCAACCATGTTGATCTGCTGGCTTCGGCATATCAAAGCTGTGGCAACCGCCATCTTTGTCGCCACCTTGATCGTCGTTGGACTGTTGCTGTTGACGGGGGTACTCCCTCCTGATGTGGATAAGCACGCAGTAAGTTTACCGATTCAGCCCTTGCTTTCGATTTATCATAGACTAGTCATAAAAAAAAGCACATACAATATATGAATATACACTAATTGAAAGTTAAGATTACTCTGTTGGAATCTTTTGGGAACTTTACTCTTTTTTTGTCATCATCTGGGCTTCTTTCGAAGTGAATACAGAAAATCTCTCTGCATCTGTTCCTACTTATTGCACCAGCAAAACACTGCAACATCATTGTTACAACATCGATACTTGCAAACGTACTTCCCTAAATAGTTTTATCATGTTTGTAGATTGATTCAACAGTTTTCTTACAAATGGCAACTTTATTTTTTGCCTCTGACGACTTTCGGTGGCTGCTTTTCTGCATTCATTCTGTTATGTTGAAAACAGCAAAGCACTTTCCGAAACGGAAGATTCCGTTTCCAAGAAAACTATGTTGTTCATATGCCCATATTTAGCGTGTAAAGTCTGCATGTATACATAATAGTGACATCTGCGATTTTGGATATCGTTTCTTATAGTCATATTCAGGGCAAGATATCACTCAGTCAACTACTACATGGCTCTGGGGAACTTTATTTGATGTTTCAAAGTCTGGGACAACGGCAGATCCAGGTACAACTGAAATCGACGAGGTACGCACATGATTTTGCTAATTGTAAATAACTTTGCTCATTCGATATAATTATTATCTATATTAATACATAATTTAAAGTAGGCCTGTACAGTGAGACTACTGTTACATACACAGTGTCTATCCTTTTTTTTACCAAAGGCTTCGTCAAACTCCCGCTCTAAGAATCGCATGTCAGCAACCACAATACAGACAGAAATGACTAGAGGTAAGACCATCATATCGCCTATGTAACGTTGATATACTGTACCCTGTGTTAATAGTCTACTACAGTCATGGCATGATTGCTCATGATTGCTATTTCTCAGAATGCTTTTAGCTGTTTACCTCAAACCCTTTAACCCTCAAACACTCGAAAGGGGTCCATTTGGACCCCAGGCGTATATTTTTATGTGCTATTTGAAATTTTTTCATTCGAAAAAAAATTCATCCCGTGACTTTGTCGATAAACATCTTCTACAAGTTCTCCCAATTTTTTTGGAGGTCGGCACAAATTTGTAAAAATAACAACGGAAGTCTTATGTAAGACCGTCTGGGGTCCAAACGGACCCCAGCCATGTATTTGCGCTTTGCTATACACAAAATTGGTCGGAGGACCTCAATATGTCTTCAAGGAAGCATTATTGCTTTAATATTATGCAGTTTGGCAAGTAACCTCAACCTCAGGTATTATTTCATCAGGTTTTCAAAGGTTTGGCAATTTGACAATCATATGAGGTCAAAGGTCAATCCCATGTTCATGCAGGTCTCATCCTATTTTTGCATGAATGATGATAATGAGCTGGAATTTTAAAACATTTTATCATGCCAAAGTATACCTCTTACAATGTTGAACCATATATGTGCAAAGATATTGAAAGAATGCAAAAAGGAATGTAGATTTAAAAGAAACCAAATGGGGTCCATTTGGACCCCGTTCGGGCATTAACGTCACAAAAAAAAGTTCGGGTGTTTGAGGGTTAAACTCATTTAGAAAATGCGAAGTCTCAACAGGAGCTTATGACATATTTTCACAATTAACTTAAGCATCGTAATCAAAGGAATATAAACAGTTCTTAGTTGTTAAAAGTTGGTTGTTTTTTTTATTTCTTTTACTATTCACATAGCTATAGTGCTTTTGACGTCGGAATAAATTCGTGACGAGATCATGAGATCCATATCCCGGAAATTCTGCTGCATGCAGTACCAAGAACAGCACTAATAAATGTGTTTTTATGTCTTGGATAGCTGACGCCCGTTTATTGCATTTCGAGTTGCGCTATTCACCCAAAAACATCAGAACGAGCCAACCCTACAAAACCGGAACGTAAAGGCTTCTAATAAAGATTGCAGTGATTTACCAATTAATCGATCTTTCTATTCTATTCAAACCAGTCAAGGCTACAAAATCCTTTGATGTCGAGGGGCATCCACGCAAAGTCACTGTGTCTACAAGTGGGAAGATTGCCGTTATGTTTAGAGGCCGTAGAGTCAGCGTCTATGACACAGAGGGTATCATTACCGTGAATTTCTTAACAGATATAATAAAAATTGAAGAACGACATGAAAAGACGATTCCCATTTTCCCCCACGATGTTTCTTTTGGTACCCTCGCCAACAACGACGTTTGGATTGTGGGTGGGAATCAGCTGTCCCACTATGTCGCGCAGTATGATTGCGGTGGACGTTTTAAAACCGGTTTTGCAATTCCTCCCATCTCGGAACCTCGTATACTTGCCCTAAACAGATTGTCCAATCGCGCCATTGTGACAGAGACGGATAAACATCACGGGATGGTAAAGGTTTTCATGTTGAACGGGATGCTCGAGCGAGGTTTTGGGTGGCGGCAGGGTTTGATGTACCCAACAGGCATCACAGTGGACAGCGACGACTCTATCATAGTGGCGGACTCCTCCACTGCCTACATCTATGTGTATCGCGACAATGGACAGTTCCTGTTCAAGTTTGCAGGAAAGGGAACCAAGAACGGCCAGTTGAGCCTCCCCCTTGACATCTGTACGGACAGTTCTCGTCACATCATCGTGGCTGACTCGGGAAACAGGCGGATTGAGCTGTTCACAAGCCGCGGGGAATTTATCCGGCACATCGCTACTGATGTCGAGCTTCTGAGCATTGCCGTTGGTCCAGACGGACAGTTAGTCCTGACTGAAGCGTCGAAAAAGAAAGTAACTAGTTTGACAAACTATTGAATTCTTGTAAGATTAGTTTCTATGTTGTTTTATCCACTCTTGGTATGTGATGGAAAACTTCAAATTCCATTGCAACGTGATTGCTGTAGACTGATAGAAAGAATCAGGTTTCTGTTTATTCTTGTCAAACATGTTGACGAGTAAATGGAATGGCTTTCAGAACTATAATAGCACATGCTTAGTGTCACTTTAAAAATTTTGACATGGCCTATCGGTCGGCAATAGAGAAAAATTACTGTTTTGTTCTTGTATCCTTGTTTCTGCGAAATGACACAACAGAGGTATTCTACAAGTATACAGATACATATGCGCGATAAATATGAGCAAGTTGTGGACAGTAGCCACCAGTGAAAAAAAGTAAAAAAAAAAGTCAGTAAATTGTAAATTTGTTCCACTTTTTGGGCCATAATGGCTTGGGCAGATTTATGCAACACATGCCGTAGACGGTAGACTAATATACGCTTAAAATATTTTGAGAAAAGTGGTCGCAATTCAATTTTCAGATTAGTCAGATTATTTCAAGCTACAATAATGAGACGCTGACCCACTTTCTGTTGGACCAATGACATCTTTGGCTGGATAAACGTAAAAGAAGCAGTTCGTAAACACATTTATTTAATTTTACATTGCAGACAATAACATAATTGATGCGTCTGGACACAATCCATGTACTTATATACGAGGCGTATGCATAAAATTGACCTGCTTCAACTGTTATATATCACCTACCAGTAAATAGAACAGCAAACGCTTAAATGTTTTGGAACATCGGAAGTTTTAATATTAGGGCACTCAAAACGTGGCGTGTCGTTTTGAGACGTAAAGAAAGATAGAACCTGTAAATTGCCTGTTCTAGGAGAAAGAAAACAAACTTGTGAAAAAAGGTTACCAATCTGTCGCGATGTCTGTAGTAGCGGGACCGTCTAATGGTGAAGACACTCACGCCCCAGACGATAGCCAGGAAGAAACGGAGAATTCTCACTGCTCCACACAGACAGATGAATATGGGGACGGCTTCATCGAGCCATATCTCACTGCTTATCACCTAGGGAATCTTGATGCAGAAAATCCAGGGGATGATGCTTCATGTTCGAAAGGTGGGAGTTACAGTGATTATTTGTATTTAGAAAGGTCGGATTGACACGGTACGTTTCTACCTCCTTGAAAAAGACACCGTAGTGAATGAGAACACCGTCACCATCACACAAAACTTAAATACATTGAATTTCATGGAGGTTTACGAATTCTTGTTCAGTACAAGATGTTGTTGAAAATACGATGTATACACTCACTGAAATGACGAACTTAGTTGTTTATGAATTGGAACGTTGATGAACGTCAAGCTGATATAACTTTGGAATTCAGCCACAGGGCTGCTAAGAAGATTACAAATGCAAATATACCAATAAGTATGATTTAGCTAGATAGTTAATAAGCAATACAACTAAGCAGAGCGTTGAATGATGCACAATGAACGATATTGGATTCTTTTTCCTATTTAGTAGATGGAACTGATGACGAGGACAAAATCGAGCCCTACCTTGTTTCATACCACTTCGAAGTCACCGACTGTGAAAGAACGGCTGGCAAGGGTCGAAATGGAAAGAAAGCAATGTTGAGTGAAGATCACACAGCAAAGTCCAGATGCTTGGAAGTACCTTTAAGAAATGGTATGTCTGTACTCGAACAATATGAACTGATCCATTAGAATTTAGTCTTGTATTGACTTGCATAATAAGATTAAGCAAAGTAAATCAGTGCCTTTTATTTATGACATAATTGTCAAATCAGGGCCTTTAATTTATGAAATAATGTACGATAATCGTTTTTATCAGTTCAGATTCCATACCACAGTGTTGCGTTCATGGGGAATATCATTAACGGATATAACTCATGCAAATGAAGACCTAATTTGCATAACCAAAAGAAAACCTTTAATATTTGAAAGGTTGATACCATTTAGTAAAGGTTTGAGATAACGTAACTTTTGTTTTGGTACGCTTTTTTTTTAAAATACAATCCATATCGGTCATAATGCAATTTAGCAGTAAGTGGAGATGGTTTATGTTACATAGATACGTCAAGAGGAAGACCCCGTAGCAACAACGACATTTTACAAGATGAAGAGTCAACTCAAACCAAGGGGCATGATGATATTTTGGAAGGCCCAACAGCCCACTGCTATACCTACATTGACGATCACGACTACACCTATATCGACAACACATCACACTCTACACAAGATGTAAAAGAAGAGCCAGGTTCGAGTTCCATCACATCAGAGGGTCTAGAATCTCCCCAAACGATCCAGCACTTAGAAGAGACATCACAACAAGACGATCAAAGAGGTAAACCACACTTGATTTAATTGATGTAACTTAATTTATTTTTTTTATAATTCTAGATTTCAAATACTTCTTTTACTGTGATCATACGTTTAGTGCAGTTTCCAACACTTTGCTGCTAATATCGGATATTCTGTATTGTCATATTTCTGTGCAATGTAAATTTTAAGTTGAAAGCTGGATCAGATACGGAACGTCTTTGACAGATATTTACTGTTCCCGTAATCTGTAAGAAGTGTAACGTTCCGACGCGACGTAAATTTATTAAGGAAACATCCTGCTCTGTCGGCTACGACATTTTCACGGAGTGGCAACCGCCATCATTGTTGCGACCTTGATCATCGTTGGACTGTTGCTGGTGACGAGGGTACTTCCTCTTGATTTGGACAAGAACGCTGTAAGTTTATTGTTCAACCTTTCACTTTTGTTTTCACACAGGACCTAAGTATGGGAACAAGCACAAATACTTTTTTTGAAATAATAATAATAATAAATAAACTAAACTAAATTGATATGACTCGGTCTTCAAGAATATCTGTTTGCTAAAGTCATTGAATTGGTTAAAAGGCTGTTGTTGCTGTCCATTGCTCTTCGTGGCAGACGTGTTGTAATCTTTGGAAACTTTGGGCTTTAGCCATCATATGCTGTCTTTTAGAGAGGTTCTTTTGAATTGCGTTTATTTTGTGTATTCTTTATTCTCCGATAATATTTTGGTTCCTGCTTCATAAGAGCGATTTGAAAACAGCAGACCGGCTTTGGAAATATAAAGTCAAGTTTAAAGAAAAAAAATATGTTTTGCATGTTTTATATGTGTAATTTTAGACATCATTTCTTATAGCCATGTACATCTTTTCGGCCTGGGCCCAATACAACTCAGCCAACTGCTACTTTGACATGGGGAACATCATTTGATGTTTCAAAGTCAGGGACAACGGTAGATGCAGGCATAACTGTCATCGACGACGTTAGTAAATAATTTTGTTCATTCCACTTCTTTTTGTCAGCAGCTACTGTGATTAGCTTTGTAGATACCTTTGTTCATCATGTTCATGCCAAATCGTAAGTAACTTTTCCTATTCTCGTAATTTTTTGTGTATTATATATTAAGCACACAGCAAGTACATTTAAAGAACGGAATCCTCGACAGACTCCAAATTTAATGCGATAGGGCAAAACAAAACAATATTTTCAAATTTTAAGATAAAAAACTTTGTAGTTTAATGGAATCGACATCATAACAAAGAGGTCTTTTATACATTAACTACAATAAAAAAGAGGTTGTCGTACCATCATGGGCAGCTATATTAACTATTTTGCTGGATATTCATGTGCAATAAACACCTTAGAGGTTTAACGCCTGCCATTAAAGCCGACTAAATGCGCCTCAAGTCAATGAAACAACTTTTAAACATTTCGAAACAGAACTAATGACATATTAACATTTCTTGATTGTTGACTACCGTTGGAGGGCAAAAAAATTTCTTAATTTCCCCCCAAAACCATACGAAATCAATGCGCGCGCTAATGTCCAATGTCATCCATAAAAGCTACTTGCCGTGGTCTGAGCCCCTACAGAGAGACCATTACCAGTGACAAAGTTTCCAAACTTTTTCAACAAATTAAAGGTGTGGTCAGATCCCGGCTCTGAGAACCGCATGTCAACAACCAGGGCCCGGGCAGAAATGACTAAAGGTAAGATCATTGCGTCACCTATGTCATTCTACAATCAATGGAACCGTAATTGAATGACATTTTTTTTGGCATTTGACATATTACTTTTGACATCGGAATAAAAGTATGACTATCGCATATCCAAGAACATGAAACACAAAACCCGGAATTTCTGCTATGTAGTAGTACAGCCACTACAATTATTTATGTGGTTGAGAGATCAAGACCTAACATTATACATTCAATATTTCATGATTATTCATATTTAGCTTTGTCTGATTCGAGAATACCTATCCAAACCACCCAGTATCTGCTTAAAAATGACAGTTTATATAATTGTGATCCAATTGTCTCAGCAGCCAATCAGCTAGATTGGATTGCAAGAAGGGATTTAGTCAAAGTGAGCAATCGATGGCCGCAGACTCAGGACCTGTAATGGTTTTTTTTACTCCCCAGATATGAAGGTCACACCGATTATAACTGCAAAATCCTTTCATGTCAACGGGAATCCGCGAACAGTCACTGTGTCTACAGGTGGGAGAATAGCCGTGGCGTTTGGAGGCGGCCGTCGAATTGGTATCTATGACAGTGACGGCGCCTTCCTCTTAGATTTCTTAACACTTATAGATAAAAAAGAAGAGGGAAAGATGACTGGCATTTTCACTCATGACGTTTCTTTTGGTACCCTCAACAATAACAATGACGTTTGGATTGTAGGTGGGGATAACTCGTCCCACTATATCGCGCAGTATGACTGTCTTGGGAATTCTGTATACAGTTTTGCCATTCCCAGCACTTTAGCACCCCGTAGACTTGCTCTAAACAGAAGGTCAACTCGGGCCATTGTGACAGAGACGGTCAGGCACCGCGGGGCGGTAAAAGTCTTCGGGTTAAACGGAATACTCGAGCGAAGTTTTGGGCGGCGGCAGGGTTTGATGCACCCAACAGGCATCACAGTGGACAGCGATGACTCTATCCTAGTGGTGGACTCCTCCACTGCCTACATCTACGTGTATCGCGACAATGGACAGTTCCTGTTCAAGTTTGCAGGAAAGGGAACCAACAACGGTCAGTTGAGCCTCCCCCTTGACATCTGTACGGACAGTTCTCGTCACATCATCGTGGCTGACTCCGGAAACAGACGGATTGAGCTGTTCACAAGCCGCGGGGAATTTATCCGGCACATCGCTGCTGATATTGACCCTCTGAGCATTGCCCTTGGTCCAGACGGACAGTTATTCCTGGCTGAAGTGTCGAAAAAGAAAGTGACCATTCTGACAAACTATTGAATTGCTGTAAGATCAGTAACTATATTGTTTAATTCATTCTTGGTGTTTAATGTTTCAATTCCTTCAACTCAAAATTGCTCAAGAGTAAATGGAATGACTTTTAAAACTAATTATATATAATTTCTAGTGCCACTTAAACCTTTGACATGGCCTGTTATTCAATTTTGTTACTGTAGTGTATCCTTTTTCTTACAGTTGGTAACATTCTTACATTCAAACACATACAAATTTGCGAAATGGTAACGAAAGTTTGTATGAAACATGGGTCTGTCACTAAAAATGTGACAAAAGGTCTAAGATGATATTTGAGTTTAAGATGGTTCTGACATAATAATAGTTTCTTTGAACATTGTCACGATCAAGTAACTAGAAATCTTTTTTATATTAGGTTGTGTTCCTTCTAATGTATTTTTAAGCTAATAAATCTAAGCTAATCTAAACACCTTCATAGAATTTAATTAATGACTGCAAATTCACTGAAACCTAACACAGCAGTAATGTGCTGATTACGAACAGGCTTCTGGTAAGTCCTCCGACCTTTCTCAAGGTCATATGACCATGGCGGCTTATGATGGCGCCAAAACAGATTTCCTATTTACCATTCCATGACGTCACACCTCCAGATAACTCAGTGTTCGGATCATTTCAACCTGACGAGGGTTAGAGGACGGAAATATTTTTGTGAACACTTTAACTTTGCGTAACGCTACATGGACTAAATTTTACGACGATTTTACCATCACAGATTAACATTCATTAAAAAACGAAAATCATAACCCTTGCACTGTGCACTTTTTAATTTATCTTATAAATGCATCACGATTACAACGATTAATACATTTAGAGCCATACATGTTAATGCAACTTAATCCACTTTCTGTGGTGGCCTTGACGATTCAACTATTTAATCCATATATTGCAGTAAGGTACCTCTACATATTTATATGCAGCTTGATGCACAGTTCTCTAAGGCCCTAAACGTGCAATCATAATCTTTCATTCTCTGGACGTGCTGGTCACGGGATATCGTTTTGTTTAAGGGTGCTTGAGGGCATGGATTTCTATAGGCGCATGCGTGTAGGGTGGAATATAGTACCGGGTATATATATAGAGAGCAATAAGATTTCATTTTTCTTGGAAAATTTGGTGTCCTTTTGTTTTTTTGTGGATGGGATAGACACGGCTTCATACTCACTGTGGCCATTTAAAGTTTAAAGAGCTGTATCAAAAATGGTAGAATCTGGCTTGTGGACAATTCAACAGGTGGGCTATCCTGTCAAGGTTATTTATCATGACCTTTTTATCCCAGAGGTGAGATTTTGACACCTTTTTTGGTGGGTTATTTGTATAGAATTCCGCAGTAGAACGTATTGGTATTGCATGCCCTGAATTGATCTCTGACCTTCACCACACACCCCGTTCCCTGTGAGGGGGCTTATTACCAGTAGGGAAATGATGGTGAAGATACGAAATGGCAACTTGCTAGAGACTGACAATACCTCATTCCAACAACTGCTTGTAAAATGAAATTACGACTTCTTATTATTCTTTCCCTTAAAGCTTGTTTCTTTCTTTAGCCATGTAATTCTATATCGATCACTATCAGTGTACACTGTATGTATTAGACACCTTTGAAATCTCATTTAGAATGAGTAAAACAAGAACAATGTAACAGGATGTTACATATAATATTACTTGATTGGAATGTATCTCAATACAAGATAGTAAGATACATAATTTGATATTTTATTATCATCGTGAGGTTAGTAGCCTGGTAATCATTTTCCCAGTGATGATTGACCTTCTATCCTAAGCTTACTTCTGTTCATTATAATACTTGATATGATCATTTTCCATACTTCATATATACTTATTTTTGGTACTTGATTCATTTCATCTGTGCTAGAGTGATTAATTCCTTGTCAATTTAAAAAGAGAGGACAACATATAAAATCTAAAGCTTCTGACCTCCCTTGTACAATTGTATTTTACGTTTTATTTGCGAGTTGCAAATTCTTGTTATGTTCACATGAAACAATAAAGTAATGGGGCAAAAAAAGAATGTGTTACATCTCTACATTTCTTATTCAAGGTAGATCCTAGTCAAAATTAACAGTAACAGCCATTGAGATAATGAGATGAAATAGGAAATAAACAATCTGATAGTAAGTGGTCAGTTTAAGAGATGGATTGAGCATTTTTTTCCTACATGTTTCATATAATTACATTTACTTTTCTTAGCACGATGAACAACTAACTGAAGTGGTAAATTATAATCGTCATCGTTTGATGTAGTTATATATAAACAGGATACTATAATTCAGCGCACCAGAGAAATTTGTGTAACTTTTTGTCGTAATAAACTATATTTTCATCATAAAATAAGTTGCTGATTATGATATTGAATACAAACTATTAGGCTTCAGCTTTATTGATATTTGCATTGACTTGTTTATTAAAATTCAAAACTAACACATAATGTACACAAAGCAAATGGTACATGTTCTACAAAAAATAAAATATGACACGGATGAAAGATATAATAATTCTATTTTTAATGTAGAAACATGAATATGCTTCGTAAGGGCTAGAGATGTAAATTAGCCATTTTACATTCTCTCTCTCTTCAAATCTTGCAATCTTCTGCTATGTCCATTATAGACTTCCGTCATGTCAACAGAGTTGTGGCCAAACAGATAATATGATGCAAATTGTATAAGTTATGGTTATGTATTCTCAAGACAAATGGCAGAATTGCATTTATAGGTCAGCAGTGCACCCCATGAGCAATGACAGAAGATTGGGCAACAACTGCTGGCTCATTAGTGACGCTGTATAAGATTACGTGTCCTGGGTGATAGTTTTAGATATCCAAAAGGAACTGAGTAATTATGGTTAATCCCATATTTTTAGTTGGAGAATGGCTTAAGTTTTCCATAATGTACTTTTTCGTCTCAAATTAACTGCGCATGCTTGTATACCAAGTTGTCACGATGCCAATTAGTTCTTATTTCGGCTTTCGTTTCACGTTGGGTTAATACGAGTCCTTCAGTTGCAAATATATGCCATCTGTCTTCACATTCTCTTGAACATACTTTACAGCTTGCATGTACATGACATTTGCTCATAATGGTATTATAAAATTAGCATTTGCGTACAGTCGTCTTCGGTGTAGCCCCAGTATTAGCACAAGAAGTAACATGACCTGTCTGCATTTCCAAAGGTTTTATTGGCATGGGCAAAATATACTGCACTTCATCGTATCATTCAATCAATATATCAGCACAACAATTGTTGTTATGCACATACAGTACCACCTATATAACAAACCGTATAGGTACGATTTGTGGGTATTTCTCGTGCAACTCATCACACCGCAGCGAAACGCAACGAATGCGGAAGTAACTATGCCACTGCAGGGCAAAAAATGCGGGGGTCTATGATCTAATTACCTTCGCCAAGAAGGTTATGTTTTCAGAGGCGTTCGTGTATGTGTGTGTGTGTGTGTGTGTGTGTGTGTGTGTGTGTGTGTGTGTGTGTCTGTAAACACGATAACTTTAGAAGGCCTTGGTGGATTGTCTTGATACTTGGTAGGTGGGTAGGTCTTGATGAGACCTCAAAATGATTATATTTTGGACCTCCTAGCGGCTTGTTATGGTACTGCAGCTGCACTTCCGGTTTTGATATCTCATGATCTAGACATGCTAGGGTGACGAAATTTGGATGGTCGGTAGCTCTTGTGCTGGGGAAGAAGTGACGTGCCCCCTAGCGGCTTGCTCTGGAACTACAGGACTATATGTTTGAAAAAATTCAACTCAATGTAACTTAAGAACCGGTTGACGGATCGTCGTGATTTTTGGTATGTAGGTAGCTTATGTGATGCTTGATATAATTATTTGACAATTACGCAAATATGGATGTAATTTGCATAATTTATGGGGATATTCTATAAATCAGCTTCATTCCATGGTTGGACTATTGAATCTTGTGACATTGGTAATTGAGAATGAGAGAAACACAGACAGATATTAATTATGTAAATGAGGACTTAATTTGCATAATTAATGAGAAAATTTTATAATTATGTAAAGATAACTGCCTGGAATTTCATACTTGTGGTATTTGAAAGTTAAGTGAAGGTGAACATCACTAAACATAATGTATTCAAATCAGGACCTTATTTGCATAATTTATGAGGAAATGCTAGAATGGCATTGTTTGTGAATATAAGGTCTCGGACCGGAGTTTTCTGCTGTGTTCGTAGTGAATTTGACACCCTCAGACCGACGGGCTGTCATTTCTGTACTAAACGCGGGTCGGAATTTTTCACTCTTTTGGCGGAAAGGGGTGCCGTCCCGCTTATCAATACACTTGATTGATATTTTGTGCGCCCAATTTATTTAGGGGTAAACAAGGCATATCAAAGTAAATTTGTAAGTGAGGGGTGCTTTTTTTCGTCATTTTTCACACATGGCTGCATGGAAAAAACGAATTTTCCCAGGGTAACGGCTTACTACTGGAAGAAGCCCGGTACCTAATCTTTCCGATGTCAGAATTTAATTAAAATCGATGCGATAAGTTTACCGCTATCTTCGATGACCCAAACACACCCACAACACACGTAGAACGCACCGTCCCAGTGATCAGGCGGAAAGGCTACACTATCATCCGCGCGGACTAATATCAGGAAGTCTCCGCTGGACCGCCAAGATTACGCCACCTATAAAGGCTACAACTAACAGGCTTTTCAGAAAACAGAAAGATATGTACACAGCTATTACGATATTAGGGATATCGTGGCCAAAACATACCATACAAAGTCACGTTTCCGGCGATTTACTGCGCACTTACTTAGACTCTGGTCAGAATTAAACTCCGACCCGGAACCTTAAGGAGATTAATTTTCAATAAAAGTACGAAAAAGTAAAAAGGAGGTTTTGTTGAAGAGTTATACGAAGTTTCCGCTTCAGGCGCTCCTTTATTCCGCTTTAACAGGTGTCTGAAGTTACCACTGAAAAGCGCCTGTTTCGTGACGCCACCACGCGGCTGTATTGAGTATTGCATGTAAGTTCCATTGACACGTCGCGGCAAGTTTATTATCATTTTATACAATGTTACGGACAAAACCCGACACAGGTGTGTACAGAAACGTTCTCTTTGTAATTCTCATGAATAATTTGGCCTCAAGTGGCATTTCCCTTCGTGAAAACATCGTAATAGTAACATACTGCGCCCCAAGTACATGTCGCACATCACGCTACGTCAGCTTGTGTTCTAAACCTGACACGTTGCTAAGGTCTCCTTGGAGATAAAGAATCACCAACACAATTCTATGAATCGAAACATCCGATAACGGCTATTTTATTCAAATCAGTGGTAAGTCATGGCTGGGCAACACACGTATATCCCATTGCAGCTGGCAGAAGTCGAAGTCTGTTCCACGGGACTGGAACTGGGCCAAGATGTGGACGCATTACCTCCAGACGACAGCGACGACGATCTCATCATGGAGGGGATTGTGTTGCCAGCCAATCCTGTGTTAGAAATAAATGACATACAATCAAATAAAGCCGGGCGACCAAAGAAGCGCAAACGAGGAAAACAATTTGAATTGGGAAATGATGTAAGGCACATGAGTATGAGCGCACGTCACACAGTAGAAGGGAATAACAGGGAAGAAGAAACAGACGTTGGTGACCATATCTCCACAAAGTATAAGCGTGTAGACAGTGACACCTGCAGTTTAGCCCGACGTCCATCTTTGGACGACACACCTGGCGGGCTCAGGCCCAGACAGCGGCCGCCTACAGTGCTTGAGAGCCTGGCAAGTGCGCCGTCTGATGAGTCGGGTACTGCAGATGTCACTGAGGACAGAATATTCCATGTGCCTCTCCTAATGAAGTTAATAAATGAATTTTATTCATCCCACAGCATGCTAAGTTCCAGATGCACTCCCAAGGTCACCATGCCTACTGAACGGGAACGAAAGTGCGGGTTTGGGTGCTGGGAGGCCCTGCGCTGTGAGAAATGTGGGTTCACCACTCCGAGCCGCCGGCTGTACGAGGAGGCGGAACGTGTTCCTGGCCACAAAAGGGGGCCCAAGCCTGGGAAGAAGAATGTGCAGCTCGCTATTGGGCTTACAAAGGTCCCTGTCGGGTCGACGGCGGTTCAGTCGCTGTTAACCAGCGTGGAACTGTCATCACCGACTAAAAGTAGCGTGCACAACCTGGCTACAGGGATGGCGGGTCCACTCGTGTCAGTGGCACAACAGGCCCTGGCCGACAACAGGAGGCGATTGCGGACAGTTATGGAGCTAAGGGGAGAACAGGTGGAAGACGGGGAGGCCGTTGCTGTAGCTGCAGCAGCCGATGGCTGCTACAATAATCCCTGTTACAAGGGCTTCCACCAGAAATCCACCCAGGTAGCGTTTCCCGTTAGAGAACAGGAAACAGACGCAAACATGCTGATTGGGTTTGCCTTTGCCAACAAGTTTGGTAAAGACGGAGAAGAGTCCACGTTCCCTAAATCTGAACCTATTGGCAATGCAGAAGAATGGTTAGCTGGGAAAGTTACCCAACAGATGTATCAATGTAATGAGTCACCACTTCTGCTTAAATCTCTTGTTGCTGACGGGTCGGGACAGATTTACAGAGGCGCCCAGTCTGCCACCCAAAACCTTCAGCCCGACTTTAAGATAGAGCAGCAAGATTGTCATGTTCATGCATCGCGTCGTCAGCGGGCTAGCGTTTTCCGTGCAAACTTAAGTTCCCAACTTCTGACGGGGCGGGCGGACTTTACCGGCAAGGTGACAAAGGAAGCACGAAAGGCTTTCTGTACTGTCTTGTCGAGAGCCGTCGCTTCGCGCTGTTCAGGGGAACTTAGGGGAGCACGGGGACGCTATCTCACCGACGACTCCAAATTTCTCGGCGCAGTTTCGGACGCAAAACACAACATACTGGACTGCTTCTCTGGCAACCACACAAAGTGTTTCAGCGTGTCATTTGTGTGCCCTTGCCTACCTGCGGGCTCCGACCACAAACCCTCCTACCTCCCCAGAAAAAGATATCTTTTGTTAACTGTGGAGGACAGAGTTGAGCTTGGCGAAGTGCTCGATTACAAGTTGTCGGAAGAAAAAGCTATGAAACAGCGCTACCTGCGGTCCACCAACTCTGTGGAGGCATTTCACAGATGTATGCACAAGTCTCTGCCAAAGTCTTTGACTTTCAAAACGCTGGCAGAGATGCGTGCATACAGTGCTGTGCACTCTGCGGCTGTGGGTGGGATGGGGGAATCCCTAGCCCGTCTCGGACAGCACTTTGGTGTCGCACCGCGTTCAGGTGGCGAGGCGGCCCAGAAGTTGTTGCAGCTAGACAAACAGGCTGCCGCCGACAAACACCGGCAACAGTCAGATGGCTACCGCAGGAGTCGGAAAAAGGCCTCGGCCAAGACCGTGTCCAAACGAGTCGAAAAACTGATGTCTGAAACATCCCAGTCAGTTCATCTTCCACATGAGCACCCTTACCTAAGATCAGAAGACGTGTTACCAACGGAAAGTATATCTGATTAAGAAATTTCAATAAATCCTCTTTCATATTCGGCCCTTAAAACAGACTCTGTCTTTTTTTTTTAAGTTCTCAGATTGTGAATGAATGAATGAATGAATGAATGAATGAATGAATGAATGAATGAATGAATGAATGAATGAATGAATGAATGAATGAATGAATGAATGAATGAAGTTGACTGGCGCGGGTTTATCTGTGTGGTGGGGGGGGGGGGGGGTAGGGAAGTAAACAAAGTCCCCTAACCTACTGTCGGATGATGCAGTCCTTGTAGTTACCGTGTCCGCAGCAGCGCCCGTCCTCCACACACCTTGCCCGCTGGATGTTTACTACGGCCGTCTCGTAGCTGAGGTGCTCAATGTTCAGACAGAGCTTCTCGTGGCATAGGTGACTGACGTGCATGGCAGAGGTCAGCCTCTGCTTGGTGTGGATGAAGAACAGCAAGCGATGCACGCTCAAGGTGAAGCGCCTGTCATCGAAGTGCGACTTCACCTTCGTTGTCCCGTACCCTTCTTTACTGACGTGGCCAGTCCACAGCACGCATCCGCTTGCAACCGCGGCAGATTTGCTGAGCAGCTTCTGCCTGATAAACTCTCCATAATCGTCTGTCAGTGGGTTGAGGTAGAATTCTGCCATCTTGGACTGAGCGAGCGTGGTTTGTGTGATGTACGTGTAAATTACGGCTGACCGGATACCCGTCAACCAATTCACAGAAAGCCTCGAAATATTTACTGTCACACTATTAGTAAGCGTAATAAGCTCCATCTGTTCTTACACACTTACAACTGTCTTGATTAAGAAGCGAAAAGAAGCTGGACATAAAGATATTAGCTCACAATAAATGTAGTCAGATACCAGACTTGCATCACTTTTTGTCACATACAACTTTATTACCATGACCTATATATGTGAATATAGCTTGTAAATGTACGTTAAAAGTCCTTCTTTCAATAGTAGGCAATGAACGCATGTTGTACGGCTGCTGTGCACATGAATGAATACTGCTCTAGCTTCTTTTTCTTACTTTTGCGCCACGAAAATAGACCACAGGCGTGAAAGTTGAAAGGACGTTGACCCCGTTCTATACAAGGCGATTACGTCATGCTCGAGAGGGGGGAGGGGGGCGAATCACTAATACACCGAAAAGGAGAGATACAAGCGAGAAACGCGGCGTTTTCGGCAGTTTTCTGCGTAGTCCCGGGGCCGTCTTCACGATGGGGTCCAAAAAACGTCTTTGCGCCGTTATATTATATATTAGGTGCGCTTTCTTAAGGTCTCGGACCGGAGTTTTCTGCTGTGTTCGTAGTGAATTTGACACCCTCAGACCGACGGGCTGTCATTTCTGTACTAAACGCGGGTCGGAATTGTTTGTTTGTTTGTTTGTTTCGCATAACCGGTAAACCGCCTTCAGGCGTAACACACCAGTTTTGTACATGTGCGCACATGTACAAGCTGCGTAAGACCGGACTGTAAGGTTTTGAACCACTCACACCGGGAAGATCCCCTACTCTTTTCGATAAGTGCGGTGGGTTCTTTAACGTGCATGGGGTGTGGCTCTCCCAAACACGGGACCTCCATTTAACGTCCTATCCGAGGGACGTCCCTAACCGAAGCTAGGAATTTTTCACTCTTTTGGCGGAAAGGGGTGCCGTCCCGCTTATCAATACACTTGATTGATATTTTGTGCGCCCAATTTATTTAGGGGTAAACAAGGCATATCAAAGTAAATTTGTAAGTGAGGGGTGCTTTTTTTCGTCATTTTTCACACATGGCTGCATTGATATTTTGTGCCTATGAATTATAAAAGGTGAGAGGTGAGATGTAATGCCTCTTTTCGTCTATTTTACCATGCATGGATTTACCTGTAAATAGTCGGAAAAGCAACACTCCCTTCAACCCCAGTTTACCTCTTTGTTACCCCAGAGTCCCTTGAAGTTCATCCATGTCCAGTTCCCGGTGTAACCTCCGTCTGGCTGGTACATGGTGAAGCGCACGTTCTTCCACGTGTCCCATGCCGTACCTGCACTGGTCTCGTCCTTCAGTGTTTTGATTAGGCGAGCCATGAATGTGCGAGTGGCAGAGCTGGGCCACAGCTTGTGATTGCCTGTAATTGTGAAAAAAAAAATAAGTAAATGCTCTGATAAATACGTTGAAATCCAGTTAGGTTGCTTGCTTGCTTAGTTAGTTTGTTGGTTACGTTGGTTGGTTGGTCGTTCTGTTGAGTTTTTGTTGAGTTTACTGATTGTTAATTACTTGTTAGTCAATAGCATATGAATTGAAAAGAAGAAACGTAGCCACACATTCGGTATCATTTGGCCTAGGGAAAATGTTGCAATTGCTATTTTGGTAGGGATTCTCCATTTTTCTAGATTTCCAGTGATTGAGTGAGCAAGTGATTGAGTGATTGATTGAGTGAGTGAGTGAGTGAGTCAGTGGGTGAGTGAGTGAGTGAGTGAGTGAGTGAGTGGGTGGGAGGGTGAGTGAGTGGGTGAGTGAGTGAGTGAGTCAGTGGGTGAGTGAGTGAGTGAGTGGGTGGGAGGGTGAGTGAGTGAGTGAGTGAAAGGCCGGCCTGTGGAGATTGGTAACCAGGCTAGACAAGCAGGCTAGACACCTAATTGTAATATATTATTATAATAAAGAGTGAAAATGGATACCGTAAGCTGAATACAAAATGGGATGTGTCCCCTCAGTCAGTACAACATCTTCACCCTTCCTGTAAGTCTGCGATGTGCCGTGCCAGTTGTATATACCTGGCCAATCAAATAAAATTCTTTCTAACATGGATAAAATCTCATGTAATTCCATCTAATTTGAAACTTAAAAATGAATAACTTATGCTTATTTGATGACGCCATTGGTCAAAATTCAAGATGGCGAATAACTTAATCGCTCTCCTTAATTAATCGCTCCTTTTTTCTTCTAACGTACATATGGGCGTCTTTATATTCCATTTGTAATTCTATACTCTATCTTAAATATTCTTGAAGATATCTAGATCTAATACAACTACTTTCAAATTAATTATAAGAGGTATGAAGAAGGTCAGCTACATTTGGGTGCTTCAACCGTCTCAACCAAAACGGGGGAAGATATCGACTTCCAACAATCTTTAACCCCTTGATGACGCCAAATTTCCGTGACCCGAGCGATTGGATCAGATAGCTCAAGGAGACTAGAAAGTGATTAAGTTTAGAATTCTTGTAAGTTCTTTTTTAGCTTAACGACGATTTAACTAGCAGATAGCTTGAGCCGACATTTTCATGAAAGTTAATCATTGTTTGTATAAGTCATTATGAAAAAAAGACTAATCTTTCCTTTCAACACCTAAATGAATTGGGAATTCCCGCAAATTTTTGGCTGACTCCTTCAACCTCATTTACGGAATGAACCAGTCTAGTCTTGGAACGTGATGTCAGAGACACGTGCCAGATAACTTTCCAAGAGTGGACTGGTCCATTCCGCAAACATGGTTGAAGAAGACAGCCGAAAATTTGGAATAAATCCCAATTCATGCAGGTGTTAGAAGGAAATCTTAGCCTTTTTTTCGTAATGTTCTTGGACTTGACAACTCCAGGTACCTGAAGATGTTTCTGCAGAATCAACATAGATGCTGCTTGGAGTTTTGCCCACCAGACGAATAGTCATGTGTTCCCAGTCACTCACGCGATGCGCCAAAGTCTGGTTCTTGCCGATGCAACCAAAAATCTTGTCGCCTGTTGAAGATAAAGCCCAAACAAAAATAATATAATCATGCTCTTAGCGCATCATTAACAATCATTTAAAAAACCATCTAGAAGATGCAGCGATATTTAAAACTTTTAAAGATGTTATATCGTTAGTAAAAGTTTTGCATCCATTGATTAGGTGAAAAGATACAATACCATTAAATAGAAGAATTTATTAATATCCATGCAGATACTTTGGCGGCAAAATCGTGGCAGCTGGAAACAATAGCGACTGCCAGGCCATTTTGATAGTGCATTGGTGGTTTGTTAAAGTTTAAACTCCAAAGGATCTGCTTGGAGATTATGCCTTATGAGCTCGAGAGCCACTGGTAGACTGCATAGTCAAAATCGGAAAAAAAGAAGAAAGGAAGAAACAAAAACAAAATCTTCGGTGTCTTATTTTCAAATGTTTTAAATGTCTGTATTAAATTTCCTGTACGTTCCTGTATGTACGCTTAAATTAATTACGAACCATTTTTAGATGTCACTGAATGATACTCAGAATGTAGATTTCTGGCGGCGACCTATTTACGAATAATTTTCAATTTTAATTTCAATTTAATTAATTGTAAACCTCAAACCCCATGTTATCAGGGCCCTTCAACCCGTATCTATCACTTGCAGAGTAACCAATTAAGATTATCCATCGCATACAGTGTGAACGGAGAAGGGGGTGAATAAAAGTTTGCCAGCCAGATTAACCTACCGACGCAAACTTTCTTTCCCAAGTTGTACGGGAAGAACATCCAGTAGAAGATGTCTGTAGTGATCGCATTGACCCTCTTTACAACAGCGTACACGGGAGGCTGCCTGGTGGGCCCGATCTGCTCTCCACTGAAGAAAGGCAGCGTGGCTTCGGCATGCGGCAGGGGTTGGACGGTGCTCATGTAACACGTCTCGGTACAAGTGGGAAGGGTAGAGGGCGTGCTGGAGTATACCCTGCGACCATCGTACACTTTGACATGCTGAAGATGAAAGTCGATGCTGGAAGGGTTGTACTTCTCGCCTTTCGCCAGCCACACTTTAGGTGCGTACCTAGACACTAGTGTCCGCAGCTGATCCTCTGTGACAGGACTCACTGTAGCAATACATACATTAACAAAAGTACATGTATAGGAATGATCAAACATGTAGAATATGTATTAGAAAACAAGAAAAACATTGGAATATAACAATTGTGTAATTTTTATTTGTGTGAAAATCCATAGATGTAACAACAAGGAATTTTATACTTGCGGCGCGCAGAAGTTATATAAAAGAATAAGAAGAACTTTGTTGCACTACAATAATAATAAAAAAATACATGTAAAGTTGTCATTGCTAACATTTGTCCAACAGTACTAATAACAGTTCTAAGAGATAGCAGATGTAACAGTTATAGGAAGCTGATCAACTTTTATAGATAATAACAAAGATTTGTAGTTATACTACTCCCACTCTAGTGATAATAAACTGATATTGCGTCCGAAATGTACATTGACTCGTTTTTTGCAGTTAGTTGTGTATACATTGGCCTACATATAACACAATAAATATATATAGACAGGACATAATAATAGCATATTACCATATAGCCAGAAGGCGTCAACTAATCAGAAGGCTCCATTTGCCATTGGTTATCAGGCCGTAACCTCAAAAGTGGTCGGTTATTAGAATAATCGTGGGATGGCATTAACCAGCTTTAAGGTATGGCTCAGCTTAAGGTATGGCATCAACACTTTATTGAATATCTCTGGTTTGGATGAGGTAGCGTTATTGGTCTTACATGCAACGGACTGTAACAATTTTATAGGTCTTCATAGGTTAAGCAATCTATTATAAAATGGAATTCGTTTTCAATGTCTTTATGGCCGTTGGAACACAGTCTCTCATTGGCTGGTGTGTTATTTGAGACCCTTTTTAATTCGTAAAGAGTGGGCGCTTATCATTTTATTTTGGTTATACTATTTCTAAACGATTTGTTTTGGATTTGTGAAATACAGTTTTTCAGACAGAACTGTGTTTTGATTTTGCAATAGTTCTTGGGAAGATAGGGACCTCATTTGCATAATTTCTAAGGTATGGCAATGTTTGTGGAGAGAAGACTGTTGTTTGGTTAAAATATGATCAACCATAATGTAATTTGTAGTCGTAAAGGTTAACGTCATTTGGGGAAGGTATGAGATCGTGGAATTCTAGTTCCTTAAGCTTTGCATTGTAGCTACTCCCATTAACAAAAGAAAGTCCCATATTTTGAGAAAACTTTCTAAAGATGTGTAACGGAACGATTAACTGCTAACCTTTGACACAGTGGTATGTTGCCTCCAAGTACTTCTGAGTCCCGTGGCAGGGGTCGCCGAACACCTCTGTCACTGCTCTCACAGAGTCCATAAAAATCCGTCCACCCCACCGCGAGAAACAGCGAACATGAAAACCACGACCGGTTACTGTACCCTTCTGCGGAAGGATATCTTATTCACCAGAGGTAACTAACGACTGATGTAATAAAGCCGTTGACTGTATACATCCGCTAAGACCACCCATTTGAAAGTTTAACCCTACCTAGACCGGGCTTTTTTTGACATGGGGGGACCGGGGGGGGCTCTTTTGACCCCCCCCCTAAGAACTCGCGAACGGTATGTCGTATGACCACCAAATTTTCAGAGAATGGTGTACTAGTGAAAATTTATCATATCTACAATTTTTATGTCGTTATGACGTAATATGACGTCATTATGACGTCATTAATGTGATTTTATTGGCCAAAACCGTCTAAATAGGTTTTCCCCTGAAAACTAAATGGTATTCAACATAACTGTACCAAAAGTGTTTATGACAGAATGTTATGGTGTACTAAGTCTTATGTTGCCCATAGCAACACCGGTGACGTCATAAAATGACGTCATGCATATTTAATATATCCGCCATCTTGGATCACCAATCTTGAATTTTCAAAATTTTTCATGATAAAGCCTAAAATACATTGTAAACATACTAAAGACCTTCATTTAAACCTTTTTTGGAAAAAGAAATGGAAGTATTGATGAAATTTTAATGAAAATAACCTGTATATACCTGTTCTAATGATATGGTCCGCCATCTTGGATTTTGGCCAATGACGTCATCAAATTAGCATAAATTATGCATATTTAATGACAAAATTTACATAAAATTATATGGGATGTTATTAATATTAGAAACCATGAGTAACTTGACATAAAACCCATAAAATTCTATTGTTGAAACAAAAAGTACTAAATTCAGCAAAAATGCCTGTCAGAAACACGTTGCCATGGCAACACAAAAATTTATTATCTTATTCCAATGACAGAGAATTGTTGCCAACAATATTCTAGGAAAAGTCACCAAGTTTGGCCGTTCTACGGCTAGCCGTTCAGACGCTAGGTGACATCAAAGTTGCCGCGGGCACTTTTAGCCCCCCCCCCCGGTCTAGGTAGGGTTAAGGTGGATTATTTAGATCATGTTACAAAATCAATACGACAAACTGCATTTCAAATATGAACGCAAATTGACTATACCCTCGTACCAAATGTAACGGTATTTATTAAAGGTGTACTAAACAATAATGACGCAAGAGAAGATCCAACCACTGACCGTCACACCGGGTGCCATCTTCACTAAGAGATTGTCCAGCAGGACAGGAGCACAGCACGTTGTTTCCGGGCGTGTCGATGTAGATGACCATCCGATCAGCCGTTGCAATATTACCCCCTGAATAAAACAAAATAATGGAACAATTTAAGAAATCAGACAAGAAATCTTGGCTCAGGCTCCTTAAGTTATTTTAACGTATTTATAGCAGCATGTATAGACACCTGAAAATAGCGATTTTCCACATATTTTGGTCCGTAACAGAATAGCTGCCTAACTCAATTATCAGATAAGAAAAGTAAACTTAGACATGGCCCATTTGCCCAGGGAAATATATAGGGCTATATAAGTACTGTACGCACCGTTGTAGTTAGCGTAGACTGTAGTTTTAGAAAAGCGGATGTAAGGCAGCTGATCTTCCGGAGCTCGCTCCCATTCACAATAGCCGAGTGGACCGCCGTCGGCCACCGCAAGCCAACATGCGTCTTGGGGGCAACCACCCCAGTTGCGATTGATGTGAAAAGACCTACAACAAAGAAAGTCGTGTTTTAATTAATACAATTAATTCCATGGACGTCATATAGATTCAGTACGAATTCGGTAATTCCATGCAAGAATATAAAGGACATTTCCAAGGCTCAAGATTTACCTTTTCTCATGTGGGGTTCCTTCGATCGAGAAGAAGTTTTGAGGCTCGGTGCTGATGTCCTTCCAAGGAGATGAGAGCAGACGAGACTTGGAGAACCAGTTGAACTTGTCAGTGTTTCTCCCATCAAAAATCAGCTCTACATTTCCTTCGGAGGACTCCAACACGACCTTCACCTGCAAAAGACAACAATCTTACTTGTGCTTGTACTTACCTGTGCCGCTAAAAAAACAGCCCCTCATTCTTGAGTTATATGCAGTTCTTTTTATTGAGAACAGATTTAGCTGGCTAAATCCAATTCTGCTCGTCAAAAATGCTAATTATTTTTAATGGTTGTGTTACTCGTAATAACCACAAGGGTCTAGCAGACACTTACACGTTGGATGTTAAGCGAATCCCATTGGTCTACAACTGGGCATTTGTTGTGGCTGACTTGTCCATTAGTTCTCCAGGCGTCGTAAACAGTCTGTCCTGTTCCTTTCTTAGTTGTAAAAACGTCTAGCCATTGAGAACTGGCTGTAAAGACTGGATAGGTACCAAATATGGAAAGTTAGCCCCCAAAATAAATATATAGACCTTCAGGCCGAAAAAAGGTTAGTACAGAATTATAATGTTAATAATTTCTTTGTTAAAGTTGGTCGATCAATCAACAGTGTGTACACATTTCCCAGGGCAAACACGGTGGGCTGACATGTCCATGTACATTTGTAACTATTTGCATTTTCAGATAGCAAAAGATAGCAAAGATATTTTCGATATTCAAACATTTTTTGTTACTCTACTGCTTTTTTTAAATGCATGAAGTTTTACATGCGCCCAAGTCGGCCAATTGTAGCAAACGAACGGCTCAGCTGTATTCAGCCGACAACATTACGATGACCTACGTTTAGTATTTCAGCTTCTAATAAAAGTGACAAAACCTGTGATAGTTACTCGACCGATCTTTCCATCCGATAAACCATATCGTTATCCAGAAAATGTACTTGAGGTTGGCTAGACTTGCCTGTCTCTGTATGTGTATATTGTGACCTACACGGGCTACGTGTGTACGTTCAGTTCCTATCTTTGAAAAGAACCGAATTCCTGTATGACAACCCATCATTCGACTCAAAACATTTTGTGTACCTTCCCAAATGTTTGTCTGATAGTCACTGAGATTTCTACCATTAGCTTGAATAGTGTCCGACGTAGGCCATGCTAGTTATGACACACGATCCACATATAAAGCAATTCTAACCACGGCGTTCTAACAGGTTTTGAGTTGTGTCACACACATCCTCAGTCCAAATCATTGTTTGCTACAGAATAGCATACCAAGTATTCAAAGTGTAAATGGCGTATTCAATATTTAGAAAGAATAAACAAAACATCGGAGTCGTGACAAAAGCTATGCGTCAAACGCCGGAAACGGGGCAAGAGACTTTTATTTCTAAGTCAAGCAGATTTACGATGTCTTACTTTTCTTGACAGTAATCGTCTCTTGCTTATCAGTGTCTTGGGGCTCCATCGATGTCCCCATGTTGGTCATTGGTGACTAAATATGAAAACGTAAAAAAAACAACATATGCTTGTCCTGTATAATTTATGGAGTTAAAAGGATCATTTGACAAATATTAATGCTTTAATGGTTAAGAAAGGGCCTGGAAAATTGAAATGAAATTGAAATCAAATCAAATATACAAAAGGACAAATTACTTATTCTGGCTGCCTGTTTAGAAGATATTAGACCTTCCCTACCAACGTGCACGTGCTATCAACCTAGTCAGCACGGACAAACAGATACACAATACCCAGGTACCCAGTAGTCATAATCTCAATGAAAGCCTTTGCTTTCAAGACATGTTTGTCTTAATCTCCAAGCAGATCATACGGTGGCAAGGCAGTATCCATTGGCCAGAGGAGATGTACAGTGCCAAAGCCAATCGCAACCCCGACTGTAACTATTACAATAAGGATGAAGCCGCGGAGTAGATGGGACCGGAGCAGGGACGGGAAGCAGGAACTCTTCGATGAATCTATAAATAGTTAGCACTGTTTAGAGAAAATCGTAAGCATCACAATCATTACAACATACCCCACTGCCACTTAGTAAGAAAATTGATACCAAAGATGGTGCACCTTCCTTTGCGCTCTGACCGCATGACACCAGTGCAAGTGGCCATTGTTTTGCCATCTATGCTTATTAAAGGTCGCATAACAGCGTTTATGGTCTCATTCATGTATTACTCCGAGTGTACCTAAAAGGGTACCAAGTCAAAAACTAAACTGCTATATGAACGCGTGTTTGTATTGGTGAGAATTTTCCCTTTAGTCATCCAAACTGACGTAAAACGTCAAAGCGGTGAAAGCTTGTTTGTAACTGAAGAAATTAGGACGTAGTTGTCGGCAGCCGCGCGCTAGGTCGGACGTGCACAGTCCAGTGTTGTGAGTTGTGCGGTCGTAGGTTTGCAGCGTGGGAGGGCCTCTTGCGGACATGCCGCTAAGTGCAGTTTGTAATTCCCATAAAAGGGGTTTGTGTGTATAGAAGTCGTTGGCAATTTTTTTATGAGATATAGAGTAAGTGTGCTTAACATAGCATGAAAGATATGAATTTATTTAATGTAGGATCATAGGGAACACGGTCTCGTAAGTCACTCATTAATGCATATCTATTATTATATATAAGGCCATGTTGATTTGATTATATGGATGACATCCTCTGGGAACCCCAAAACTGATGCGCAAATGGCACAGAATATGTTATGGCGAATAATCTACTCTTCGAATTCATTTCTTTATATTTTTGTCTTTTTTCCTTTGAGTTTGGCATTCTACGACATTGGTGTCGTTTCTAAATGTTTTCCTTGCAACTTATGGTATATTTTTGCTCATTTAGCAACTGTTTTGTACGATTTACAGTATGGTTGAAAACTTTTTTTTGGAAACGGCCGAAAATTCATGCGCGCGCGGATGTCATCCATATAATGAAATCAACATGGCCTAATGTATCGAGAAAAAACATGAATGAGACCTTATGGGCGAACACCGCAGTCAATAGTAGTTAGGGCACAAAATAGAGAATGCTGCAGAGATTGTGTATAGGACAGTGAAGTAAAAACAGTACTGAATTTTATAATAATGCATCAGGTTTGAGACCATATAATTTGAATTAGGGTGTCACAGTGTTCGGCCGGGGTGGATTTTGCCGCCTGGATCCTGTTACCGCCGAGTACTGTGCATCGGCTGCAGTTCACGTAACCCCCGCCAAGCGTGGTAAGCGTGCAAGAAAAATTAGAGCTGATTTTGACACATTTTGTAGGTCGTACCCTGAACCCAAACATTTTTTAACTTGCTTGTGCACCCTACTATGAGCCTTCTCACTTTTGAGCTCCTTAACTTTAGAAGTCCCCATAGGGCGAAAATTGTGTCTTTTTATCTTTTTTAATTCTTTGTTATTATTGATAGTTTCCTTGCTGGGTATAGAGGCTACCTTTATCTTGTGTTGCCCCAGACGAGTAGGTTGGGTTAATAAACATGCCGCAGGCGTCCCTCTTCATCCTCCTGGGTAGTCTGGTGTCATTCCCTTGATCAGTCGGTTGTCCACCATGTTCTTTGTGCGCACCTGACTGCTGTTGGTTCTCGACGTCATCTTCGTCTATTGAGTGGTACACGTTGCTGTCAACGTCTTCTGGATCAATGCATAAAATGTCAGTTCCTCCATCTTGGGTAGAAAATGCCGGTTGTTCCGTGTAAATTAAAAAGAATAAATGGGAGACTTTTAATTGATTGTACGATAGAGCTGGCTGGAGTAATCTGTCGGAGGGAAGCAAGGGGCCATGTTGTACCTGGTCTGTGCATATAGGCAGGTAGGCAGGTATGATTCAGGGGATTGTAGGGATGGAGGGGACTACGGGACGTAATCAAATCGGGTATTATACCACTTTCTGAACTACTTCACATGCCACAAACTCCCACCCGACTTCACTTTCAGACTTGACCTTCCTGCCAATCGCCAAAATCAGCTCCGACCATCCAAAATCCGTTATCAAAGAGTGGTGCATATTAAAGAAATTACGACGCTCTACCGCTCACAGAATATCAAAAAAATATTAACTTATACGAAGAGGTCAAGACATATTTTCATTGAAATTAATAATAAACCGTTATTGGATTTAAAAAAACGTACTGAGACGTACAAGCATTTTTTATTCCTTGTACCTCAATAATGATGCTCGAATTTAAGCAACAGTTAGCAAAAGGTGACTGATGCGATATATATTTCCACCATATAACCAAACAAGGAGGAGGGGCTGTACGAGCGACTTCCATACTGTATACACATAGATGTCAAATCTACGACGGACGGGCCAGGGACGGGTTGGGAGAAACGGTCAGGCGTCCCTCGGACGGGGTCCAGCCGCCCGGAGCGTCAATTTGTGGACGGCCTCAACTTATATTGGGACCGGGGACGGCCTGGGATGGGTCAGGACGGATTCGGATGGCCAGGGACAAGCAATTACTGGAATATTTACATATGCATAATATACTCTGTACCAACCAATCAGGATTCAGGCCCGGCCACTCTAGCTCTACTACTACAACTTTTCTGGACGTTACTGATTATATACTAGAAAGGCCAATATTTGCTTTGGAGCAAATACAGCGATGGGTTCACCACATTTTACGACATGGCAGGGAAAGAATGAGAAACACAAGGGAAAACAATGATTTACATTGATATAACTATAATATGAAGTAACATACAACTAAAACAAGAGTTGGATAGCTATTCCCTACTTTATTGGTTAGGATTTTTAATTGCATAATGCAAACTGTTGATTTTCAAAATAAATTAAAAAAAACGTTCATGCCCCGCATTCCAATGCTGGAGCAGAAAAGCTTGAAATACCTACCAAAACTACTTGAATAAAGACATACTGTCAGTATGGAAATGCTCTGTGCAGGTGTTAATCAAGTTAAATCCCAACAGCCAATCAGCAAGAAATGCTCTGTGCAGGTGGAAATGCTCTGTGCAGGTGTTAATCAAGTTAAATCCCAACAGCCAATCAGCAAGAAGTATAGAGGAAAGCTGCATGCCTATTGGTTGATGCCCTGCATTCCATTGTGATGACTCATGCCCAGACGTGGTAAACACGCACACTAACACAGTAATACATTTGCTATAACACAGCCAAAAAACTCAAATAAAACCATTCTAAAAG